CTTCGCGGGAAATCCCGTGGGAAAAGGAAGCCCTTATTTTTGAAGTCTTGCGAGATTTCTCGCGGGATGCGTTTTAATTTCGAAGGGGATCCGAGGGAAAACCAAGGGAAGTTCAAAGGGAAGTCCAAGGGAACAGTAAAAGGAAGCTTTGACTCTCACGGGAAACTGAAGGGAAACCAAAAAAAAATCAAAGGGAAACCACGGGAAAACCAGGAAAACTCAAGGGAGAGCTCGCGGGAATTTCTCCCGCCAAAATTCGCGGGAGAAAAGTTTCGCGGGAGAAATATTCAAGGGGAATGCTTTTGTTAACGCTCGTCCCCGGACCCCCGGCTTTTTTTACAAGCCTTATGAATTAACAAAACAAAATGTTCTTTTTTAAAAGGACTAAGAAGCGCATTTAAATATTTTAAATGAGTATTTTTGTTGCTGTTGTTTATTTTTCTTGTAAGGCCTAGGCTTTCAGAATTTCAGGAAAATTGCAAAAAAAACTTAAATGGTTTATTTGCTAAAAATTACAAACAAAAATCCTAAAATATAAGGTACCCATGGAACTTCATGGCCTTTCAAAATATTGAAATGCCCCTAGTTTCCTTAAAATCTATCAAATTGTAAACTAATATTCAAGTACTTTCCGGAAAGGGTCAGGCCCATTTGGGGGCCTGGAGACTCTACAGTCAGAGAGCTCGGGGGCCTGCAGACTACAGCCACAGCTCGGGGCCTACGGCCTGCTTCGCGGGAAATCCCGTGGGAAAAGGAAGCCCTTATTTTTGAAGTCTTGCGAGATTTCTCGCGGGATGCGTTTTAATTTCGAAGGGGATCCGAGGGAAAACCAAGGGAAGTTCAAAGGGAAGTCCAAGGGAACAGTAAAAGGATGATTTGACTCTCACGGGAAACTGAAGGGAAACCAAAAAAAACATCAAAGGGAAACCACGGGAAAACCAGAAAAACTCAAGGGAGAGCTCGCGGGAATTTCTCCCGCCAAAATTCGCGGGAGAAAAGTTTCGCGGGAGAAATATTCAAGGGGAATGCTTTTGTTAACGCTCGTCCCCGGACCCCCGGCTTTTTTTACAAGCCTTATGAATTAACAAAACAAAATGTTCTTTTTTAAAAGGACTAAGAAGCGCATTTAAATATTTTAAATGAGTATTTGTGTTGCTGTTTTTTTTTATTTTTCTTGTAAGGCCTAGGCTTTCAGAATTTCAGGAAAATTGCAAAAAAAAAAACTTAAATGGTTTATTTGCTAAAAATTACAAACAAAAATCCAAAAATATAACGTACCCATGGAACTTCATGGCCTTTCCAAATATTGAAATGCCCCTAGTTTCCTTAAAATCTATCAAATTTTAAACTAATATTCAAGTATTTTCCAGAAAGGGTCAGGCCCATTTAAATAAAAAAAATAAACTCAGTAAAACTATTGGAAAATAAATTTATTTTCCGGAAAAGTCAGGCCCATTTAAAATTTTAAATCCTTAAAATCCTGAAAACCCTTAAAATTTTGAAAGCCCGGACCTTTCAATATTTTAAGGATTTTAAGGAATGTAAGGCATTTTAAATTCTTAAAATCCTTAAAATCCTTAAAATTTTGAAAGAAAATTAAATTATTTTCCGGAAAGAGGCAGGCCCATTTAAAATTTTAAAAATCCTTAAAATCCTTAAAATCCTTAAAATTTTGAAAGCCCGGGCCTTTCAAAATTTTAAGGATTTTAAGGAATTTAAGGCCTTTTAAATTTCTTAAAATCCTTAAAACCCTTAAAATTTTGAAAGAAAATTAAATCATTTTCCGGAAAGAGGCAGGCCCATTTAAAATTTTAAAAATCCTTAAAATCCTTAAAACCCTTAAAATTTTGAAAGGTTGGGGCTTTCAAAATTTTAAGGATTTTAAGGAATTTAAGGCCTTTTAAATTTCTTAAAATCCTGAAAATCCTTAAAATTTTGAAAGAAAATTAAATTATTTTCCGGAAAGAGGCAGGCCCATTTAAAATTTCAAAAATCCTTAAAATCCTTAAAATTTTGAAAGCCCGGACCTTTCAAAATTTTAAGGATTTTAAGGAATTTAAGGCCTTTTAAATTTCTTAAAATCCTTAAAATCCTTAAAATTTTGAAAGAAAATTAAATTATTTTCCGGAAAGAGGCAGGCCCATTTAAAATTTTAAAAATCCTTAAAATCCTTAAAATCCTTAAAATCCTTAAAATCCTTAAAATTTTGAAAGCCCGGGCCTTTCAAAATTTTATGGATTTTAAGGAATTTGAGGCATTTTAAATTTCTTAAAATCCTTAAAATCCTTAAAATCCTTAAAATTTTGAAAGAAAATTAAATTATTTTCCGGAAAGAGGCAGGCCCATTTAAAATTTTAAAAATCCTTAAAATCCTTAAAATCCTTAAAATTTTGAAAGGTTGGGGCTTTCAAAATTTTAAGGATTTTAAGGAATTTAGCGCCTTGTAAATTTCTTAAAATCCTTAAAATCCTTAAAATCCTTAAAATTTTGAAAGAAAATTAAATCATTTTCCGGAAAGAGGCAGGCCCTTTTAAAATTTTAAAAGTCCTTAAAATCCTTAAAATCCTTAAAATTTTGAAAGCCCGGGCCATTCAAAATTTTAAGGATTTTAAGGAATTTAAGGCATTGTAAATTTCTTAAAATCCTTAAAATCCTTAAAATCCTTAAAACTTTGAAAGAAAATTAAAATATTTTCGGAAAGAGGCAGGCCCATTTAAAATTTTAAAAATCCTTAAAATCCTTAAAATCCTTAAAATTTTGAAAGGTTGGGGCTTTCAAAATTTTAAGGATTTTAAGGAATTTAAGGTCTTTTAATTTCTTAAAATCCTTAAAATCCTTAAAATCCTTAAAACTTTGAAAGAAAATTAAATCATTTTCCGGAAAGAGGCAGGCCCATTTAAAATTTTAAAAATCCTTAAAATCCTTAAAATCCTTAAAAGTTTGAAAGCCCGGGCCTTTCAAAATTTTAAGGATTTTAAGGAATTTAAGGCCTTTTAAATTTCTTAAAATCCTTAAAATCCTTAAAATCCTTAAAATCCTTAAAATTTTGAAAGAAAATTAAATCATTTTCCGGAAGGAGGCAGGCCCATTTAAAATTTTAAAAATCCTTAAAATCCTTAAAATCCTTAAAATTTTGAAAAAAAATTAAAAAATTATTCCGGAAAGAGTCAGGCCCATTTAAAATTTTATAAATCCTTAAAATCCTTAAAATCCTTAAAATTTTAAATGGGCCTGCCTCTGTCCGGAAAATGATTTAATTTTCTTTCAAAATTTTAAGGATTTTAAGGATTTTAAGGATTTTAAGAAATTTACAAGGCGCTAAATTCCTTAAAATCCTTAAAATTTTGAAAGCCCCAACCTTTCAAAATTTAAGGATTTTAAGGATTTTAAGGATTTTTAAAATTTTAAATGGGCCTGCCTCTTTCCGGAAAATAATTTAATTTTCTTTCAAAATTTTAAGGATTTTAAGGATTTTAAGAAATTTACAAGGCGCTAAATTCCTTAAAATCCTTAAAATTTTGAAAGCCCCAACCTTTCAAAATTTTAAGGATTTTAAGGATTTTAAGGATTTTTAAAATTTTAAATGGGCCTGCCTCTTTCCGGAAAATGATTTAATTTTCTTTCAAAACTTTAAGGATTTTAAGGATTTTAAGAAATTCAAAAGGCCTTAAATTCCTTAAAATCCTTAAAATTTTGAAAGGCCCGGGCTTTCAAAATTTTAAGGATTTTAAGGGTTTTAAGGATTTTGAAAATTTTAAATGGGCCTGCCTCTTTCCGGAAAATAATTTAATTTTCTTTCAAAATTTTAAGGATTTTAGGGATTTTAAGGATTTTAAGACAATTTAAAAGGCGTTAAATTCCTTAAAATCCTTAAAATTTTGAAAGCCCCAACCTTTCAAAATTTTAAGGATTTTAAGGATTTTCAGGATTTTTAAAATTTTAAATGGGCCTGCCTCTTTCCGGAAAATAATTTAATTTTCTTTCAAAATTTTAAGGATTTTAAGGATTTTCAGGATTTTAAGAAATTTAAAAGGCCTTAAATTCCTTAAAATCCTTAAAATTTTGAAAGGCCCGGGCTTTCAAAATTTTAAGGATTTTAAGGATTTTAAGGATTTTTAAAATTTTAAATGGGCCTGCCTCTTTCCGGAAAATAATTGAATTTTCTTTCAAAATTTTAAGGATTTTAAGGATTTTAAGGATTTTAAGAAATTTAAAAGGCCTTAAATTCCTTAAAATCCTTAAAATTTTGAAAGGCCCGGGCTTTCAAAATTTTAAGGATTTTGAGGATTTTAAGGATTTTTAAAATTTTAAATGGGCCTGCCTCTTTCCGGAAAATAATATAATTTTCTTTCAAAATTTTCAGGATTTTAAGGATTTTAAGGATTTTAAGAAATTTAAAAGGCCTTAAATTCCTTAAAATCCTTAAAATTTTGAAAGCCCCAACCTTTCAAAATTTTAAGGATTTTAAGGATTTTAAGGATTTTTAAAATTTTAAATGGGCCTGCCTCTTTCCGGAAAATGATTTAATTTTCTTTCAACATTTTTTAAGGATTTTAAGGTTTTTAAGAAATTTAAAAGGCCTTAAATTCCTTAAAATCCTTAAAATTTTGAAAGCCCCAACCTTTCAAAATTTTAAGGATTTTAAGGATTTTAAGGATTTTTAAAATTTTAAATGGGCCTGCCTCTTTCCGGAAAATAACTTAATTTTCTTTCAAAATTTTAAGGATTTTATGGATTTTAAGAAATTTAAAAGGCCTTAAATTCCTTAAAATCCTTAAAATTTTGAAAGGTCCGGGCTTTCAAAATTTTAAGGATTTTGTGGTCCTTTTAAAATTTTGGAAAACCCCTAAATTCCTTAAAATCCTTAAAGTTTTGGAAGGCGAAGCAGGACCGTCAAATAACGCATAAAGGTCCTACATACATATATATATATATTTATTTATATTTACATGCAGCGTTCGAGCGCGCGCGTACTTCCCGACTACGTTTGGACAGGGGTCCGCCAGATCAATCTTTCGGCGCTCGAACTCGAAGTCGCTCAGGTCAAGCGCTGCGCTCGAGGGCTCGTCCTCGTGCTTTGTGACTCTTAAGTGACTTCTTGTGGCTTTTTGTGACGCTTGTGGCTGTGAGGGGAGCATAGGGGAGCAAAATGTCCTCTGGACAGTGCAGCTGCTCCAGATACTGTAGGGCAAGTGCCTGCTCCACGGTCACCCGATGATCGGGATTGAACTGGAGCCTCGGTTGCTTCTGCCACATGCCGCCTATATCGCCACCTATTGCCACCCATTGCCAGCGGAGGCCTTTCGCCACCCTTGTCAGCTCACACTTGAATGGAAGTTCGTGCCACGAAGATGGGCTTTCCTGACACCTTCCTGGCAGCTGGACCGGCCCATGCTAACGTAGCTTGTTTGGTTCAAAGTCAAAAGCTAGCACAAGCCAGCGTAGCTCATAGCAGGTGACAAAAGGCAAGCAAAGCAGGGTTCCTGCGTTCTTGCTCTTCTTCACTACGCTCCCTACCGTATGCAATTACGAGCCAGTATTATTGCTATCTACATACATATATTATACATTATGTATCCGCCGACCCCAGCGGTAGCAGGGCGGCGTCAGTGAAGACCCCCCACCGCCCTCACCGCCCTCACCCGCTCTCACAGCATGCTGCTCATACCTTGAATTGGAGTGTTTTTGCATTGTTTGGCTTCAGTGCATGCCCAAACCCCGCCACCCATCGCCCTCACCCATGACGCCTTGAATTGGACCCCCCCCCAACCATTCAGGTGGTTTAAAGGGTCCAGTGCATGCCCGACCACCCCCCCCCACACCCCCCCACACCCCCCCACCCCCCCCCTCCCCCCACCCCCCCCACCCCACCCCCCCCCGACCCCCCCCACCCCCAACCCCCCCAACCCCCACCCCCCCACCGCACCAATCTACACGCCTGACCACACCTGCCATCACCGCTCTCAACGCCCTCACCCCCCCAACCCCCACGCCCCCCCACCACCCCAAACCAAACCCACCCCCCCCCACCCCCCCACCCCCTATTTTTCGGCAGGCCTCGCCCCTGCACCCTCTCCCCCTGACCAATCTCAGGTTCAGGTTTCAAGGAAAACAACCGCCACCCCCCCCCACCCCCACCCCCCCCCTCCCCCCACAAACCCTCCCCCCCTCTCCCCCATGCTTACCCCCCCCCCTAGCACCCATCCTTCATCCCTCCCCCTGTAGTCTACCCCTACCGCCTGCTCCGGCCCTGAGATTCCAGTCCATGCCCGCCCTGACCGCCCTCACCGCTCTCACCGCTCTCATCACTCCCCCTCCACCCCCTACCCGCCGCCTCGACTCTGGAACCCAACCCCCCCCACCCCCCACCCCCCCCCATCCCTTCCCTCCTAGGGATTCCAATCCACGCCCGCCCTAACCGCCTCCCCGCTCTCATCACTCCCCTGCCTTCCGCCCCCAACTCCACCAACCCTCGACCGTCACCTCCCCTGTCCACCCGCCGCGCTCCACCCTGCCTTCCGCCCCAACCCTCTCACCGGAGCTGGTCAGATGAGTCAGGCCCCCCTTTCCGCCAGCCGCCCCCACCCTCTCCCACTCCCACTCCCTAACCCTCCCACCAACCCTCCCCAGCCCTCATCATTACCCCCTCCCACCATCGTGCACCATCCGACCGCCCCCCGCTCTCACCGCTCTCATCGCTTCTTCATCTCTATGCCCCCCAGTCCACCCCTGCCTTCCGCCCCCAACTCCCTAATCCGACACCAACCCTCTACCGTCACCCCCCACCGCCGCCCCCCTTTCCCCCCCCCCCCCCCCCCCCCCCCCCCCCCCCCCCCCCCCCCCCCCCCCCCCCCCCCCCCCCCCCCCCCCCCCCCCCCCCCCCGCCCCCCCCACCTGCCCGCGCTCCACCCTGCCTTCCGCCCCAATGCGACAGTCTTGGGTCTGGGGTCGGCGGCACTGGCGGTAGCCATTAAATATACGTACATATGCGTATAAAAAGTTTACACATGTTCAGCACGCCTCCCGAAAAGACTACAAATCATGAGGGCAAGGCGACATTCAACTCAGCAATCTGCTGGTTGAGCAAGTCTGTGTAGGGTGATCTCATCCGATTTCGTGTTTGTCACCAGGGGGAGACGATCAATCTGACTTGGCCTCTAATTGCCTATCCCGTTGGTGATTTTGCCAAACTTGGCACATGTGTGGCTTTCGCCTTGTGGTTTGCCTAATGACTTCACATGAAATCGCTTCAGTTCGAATTCGAAGCGAGCTTCGTGCAGTCCAGGAGTTCCAGCACCAAGGGTGGCACCGGTCCTACAGCAGACAGCAGATGGCTAACGCGAAGCCCATTTTTGACTTGAATCGTTTATTTGCGCGTAGATTCGCCTGCCGCTTCTGGCAGATTCTACCCAGCTCGACTTGAGACTCCACCCTCCAGAACACCACCGCCAGACACCACAACCACCCAGACAGTGTCTAAACACGCGTTACGACAAGTATGCGAAAACGATGCATCCAGACATCCCCTACTCCACAGCACATTTGATGACACATGAGCTTACACAAGCAGCACGACACACCTCTCCTGCACGTTCTTCTCTCTCCCTTCCCTCCGTGTCTCTATTCCTCTACTCCTCTTCCTCTTCCTCTGCTTCTTCTTCTCACAGAGCAGCGTTCGCCCCTTGTCCTCGGTCCGTGTGACACCATACTCTCCCTTCGTCTTCTGTCTTCTGCTGACCTGATCCGGTACTGTCGCGAAACTCCTTCCCAGGAAAACGGCCGTGAAAACCATTCTTTTACCCCCCCCCCCCCCCCCACGGCGGAAGGCGTTTTTTTGCAAAGGTGTGGCTCGGCCATGTTTCCTTGCAAAGGTGTGGACTGCAAATAGTGTAAATAGCAGCATTTGCGCGTGTCCAGAGGGCGCAAATACTGTAGTTAGCAGCATTTCTGAGTTTGCAGAGGCTGTAAATACTGTACAAATAGCAGTTCTGCGTTTTCAAAGGTTGTAAAGACGGTAAATAGCAGCAAGTTTAAACCCCCCTCCCCCACTTGCAAACACAATGCTCGCATCATGCGTTTGAAAAAAGAGTGTGTGGCTTATAATAGGTTTTGCAAACAGAGTGCTCGCATCATGTGTTTGAAACTGTACGGCTCAAAATGGGTGGCCTTGAAAAAAGCGGGGGTTGGGGGGGGGGGGGGGAGACCAGCCAACCCCCCCCGTTGCAAACACAATGCTCGCATCATGCGTTGAAAAAAGACTGTACGGCTTAAAATGGGTGGCAGCCTTAAAACAAGCGGGGGGGTTGGGGGGGGCCGCAGCCCCCCCCCCCATTTGCAAACACAATGCTCGCATTATGCGATTGACAAAAGACTGTACGGCTGAACATGTGTAGCAGCCTTAAAAAAGCGGGGGGTTGGGGGGGCGCAGCCCCCCCCCCCCGATTTGCAAACACAATGCTCGGCTGGCATGAGGGGTTCGTACGACTTCAACCCACCTCCCCATTTGCAAACACGATGCTCGCATGATGGGTTCGAACGAAATAAGCCCCCTCACCTGCAAACACGATGCTCGCATGATGGGTTTCAGAAAACGTATGTTTTCTGAAAGCTTCGCACGTCAAAATGCCGGGGTTCAACACGGAGCAGAGAACATATGTTCTTCGAAGAAAGCTTCGCACGTCTTGAAAGAGCGGGGTTCAACATGGACCAAAGTCGAGCCAAGCCAATCCGAGGCGAGCCAAGCCCCAACCAAGCGAGCTAACCAGGCCAAGGCCGTGCCTAGCAGCCAACTTCAGCCGAGCGAGGCAAGCCCGAGGCGAGGAAAGCCGAGCCGAGCCGAGCCGAGAAAAGCCAAGCCGAGCCAAGCCGAGCCAAGCCGAGACGAGCCAGGCTGAGCCAAGCCAAGCCAAGCCTTTGCAAGGGGACAAGCCAAGCCACACCTTTGCAAGGGGACAAGCCCGAGCCACACTCTTGCAAAAAAAAAAATGCCCCCCCCCCCCCCACAAGCCCCCCCCCCCCCACAAGCTACCTAAGACACCTTAACCCTACAGATCTTCCCCGCCGAGGACTCCTGTTGTGTGTGTTTGCAAGTGACGTGCTGTTGGTGCGAGATTGGCGCCGCAAATTGCCTTTCTTCCGCGCCTCCCCAGCTGGGCCTTCAGGGGATTCAGGGGCACTCACTTGTAGCTTAAGCTCTTCGTCTTTATCAAGAGATGTAAAACAGTCTTCATACAGTAGGAGAGCCGACTCGCACCCCTCCCCTCGATTTCCTCCCCAGTTTCCACCCCCCAGCCCCCCGCTTGGCTTATTTTTGGCAGAGGAGCATGGGGGAAACTTTGCAATTGAAACCTCTCCCCCCAAGCGGGCTTCACGACTTGCACGCTAATTACCACCGCGCCGCAGTCAGACTGGGTTTGCTTCCAAAAACCTTCCCCCATTTCAACGGCCTGTCGGACAGCTCCTCCTCACTAGTGCTTTTGGTGGTTTGGGGGTTGCCTCCATGCCGCCGCTGTGCGCTCTGGCGCTCGCCACAGCCATGCATCTCCAGACTTCCCCCCCCACACCGCTGGCATGATGCTTTCGTTCTTTCTTTCTGGGATCTTGTTAATGCTTTTTTTGTTTTGCTGTTTCGTCTTTCCTGTGTGTTTTTGTTCTTTGTCTTTCTTTCCTTCTTTCTTTCAGTATTGGTTCGATTCTTTCTCTTTCTTGTTCATTTTCTTTTTTGTATTCCTGATGAGTTTCTTTATTTGCCTTTCATTCTATTCCAATTTCTTTCTTTTTTCCGTCTTTCTTTATAATCCTTTGTTCTTGCTTTCTGGCTGTCGTTATTTTGCTCTTTCTGTCTTTCTATGTGGATCTTTGGGCCCGAAAGCCCAGCGCACTAGGCACGCCCCGACTTCCGGTGGTCAGTGGTAATTAACTCGGGCACGTGGGTGGGGTGGTACTGCCATGCAAGACTCTCTCACTCTTTCTTTCTTTGTTTCTTGGTTTCTTGGGGCATGGGGGGCGAACCCCCCTGTGCGTCCACGCCCCTGTATTCGGGGCCGCTCCTTGAAACTGAAAGGCGGGGTCTTGACGTGTGAGCTCAGTTCTCTCCCTCCCCGGCCCTCTGCCTCTCTCTGTGTCTCTTTCTCCTCGACTCGACAACGCTCTCGATTAGAATTTTCTTCATCGAAAAGCGGAGAGCCGAGGAAATAGCAAACATCCTGAAAAACCTGCAGTGCAGAGCATGTCCTTGTGAGGGACATGCAGAAAGAATTTGCAGAGAATTTGTTCCTTGTGCTATTTTGTTGTCTCTCTGTACTAACCAGTTCTCCCCAGCTCCCCCCAACCGCTCCTACGGCTTCGTAGAGGGCCGCACGGCCCTGGGTGCGAGGTAGAGACCTCAGCTGAGAACCGATTCTTGCACAAAAGCTGCAATCTGCTAGATCACAAATACGTGGGAGTTCTTCCTGTTGTTGCCTTCTGCAATACTCAGAGAAGATGATAACAGCCTCTGAGAATACAACCATGCAAAGAGAAAAGAGCGCCAAAGACTTGTGCCAAATGGTGTAAAACTCTCGTATAGCTTCTGAATCTTCACTAGCACTGGCACCTGCGTGGGCTTGCTGCGGCCACGTGGCTCAATGAACTTTCGACACTTCTCGTTGTTGATCCTCACGACTAGATGGAAGAAAGGCACGAGAGCATCATTTCGAGGTCATTAAGGGGCCGCATTCGGTACTCTTTTTCGGCTCGACTCGGCTCAGTGTTACTGTCCTGTTCAAGGCGGAAGCATCCGGGGAACCCAGATTTTGGATGATGAGCTGCAGCTGGTGCTGTGTGTTCTTCCCGGGCAGCAGCGGCCGACGCCTCGCAAATTTTCTCTTCATGTGTACACTTGTATAGCTTGTATACAGTATACATATATACCTTATATACCTGCTTTACCCCGCGAACCGCTCTAACCCCTCCACACCCAAGACCAGGCCCCAGAGACCCATGCGCGAAGCGAGATTCTTGGGGGACATGCGTGCAGAAGTCTTTATGGAACAGACATTGTGAGATGAGGCCACCAAAACCATCGGGTGCAGTTTGCACTTCGATGTCCCTGTTGCGGCTCTGAATAAGCCTCGTGGGTGAGGGGGGGTGGACCTTCCACATCGAGCGCCCGGTCATTTTTGCACACCCACACACACCTCAACTCACAGCAACATCCCCCGAACCATAATTTTTCTGTACACCCCCGCCCCTGCAGGTGGCGGCTGTGCCGCGGGGGTTCCAGGCTGTGGGGTCCTTTCAGGGACCACCCTCAAAAACTGGTTTTTGTCGGCACTCTTCCTGGAACGCAAAATGAAACACCGAGGCTCCACCATGCCTAGACAAAGCGTTATTTGCGGACAGCCCCTACATTAGGCGTGCATCATGTTCTTAGAAACGCATTTTTTGTGCTAGTAAAGGCCATGGCACTAGGAAAATTGCACAAGTCCAACCATCCAAACTTTTCAAGGCAATCTGTGGGGAAGATGGATTTGGAGATTTTGGTTGCCATGGGCAAATCGTGCTTCATGTGAATGATATTGAATAAGGGTGAGCACAAGACCGCGACAGATTACGCTTGCAAAACAAATACTTCATTTTCAGCGGCTTTTCAATGTATCAACTTCGGGCGCGAGCTGGAAAGAAACCGACATCTTGAAAAACGGAGAGGATGCAAGACTCATCCAGGCTCCTGGTTCTGAGGGCAGCACAGAACCAGCCCACTATTGCATGACTGCATGTGAGGGTGGCACAAAAAAATTGTGAAACTAGTACTATACCTGGCCAAAAGAGGATCGAAAGATGAAGGTTAATCATTGCCAAAGAATTCTGGAAGGAATCCAATGCGCCTTTGGTTTCATGCGGTTCTCCTTTAGTTTGAAGGGTAACCTCCCATTCTATGAATCTGGCACTTGAAACCCAACTCTTCCCTAATTTAGAAGCACGGCTTATCTGAGAAGACCATCGGTTTTGGTCAGAAAGCCACTCATTTTTCTAGGGCTCTCCTGAATCCTCATTGCTCTAAAAAGTTGCAGTTGAGTTTTCGGCAATTCAGGGCAACAATGAAGGACAACTACTGGAACAACTGATGCCCCGAACAATCCGCCGACACCTCCACTCCTCCCTCCCCTCCTCCCTCCCCTCCCGCTGCCCCCTCCCCCTTCCTTCCCCTCTCCCCCCGTCCCCCCCCCTGCTCCCTGGTCCCTGCCCCCCCTCTTTTGGCGACCGCCGTGGCCACGGGTCGCGCAGCGTTAAAATTACCTCTGAACACGAAAAGGGGTTCCAGTACATGCACTAACAACCTACTTGTAGCATAACAGAAGGGCGCCCCCTTAAACGTCTTGTAAAAATCGACACCCTCAGCCCTTGGCAACAGAAACAGGCCCCCATGGTGCACCCTCGTATACATATACACCCATGTATATTGATACACATATACATAGATAGATATAGATATAGATATTATAGATATAGATATAGATCTAGACATAGATACAGATATAGATGTTATAGATATAGATCTAGATATATGATATAGACATAGACTGGATATAGATATTAGGTCTATACACATACTTCATATGTGGTGTGATGGTGCCTCAGCATCTCCGCAAAGATGCACCCCAACGACCACATGTCGATGGCCTACGAAAATCTGCCATGAGCTGGAATCTTACAAGGCGCACTGCAGTGACTGCAGTGACTGCAGTGTGCAGACGTCGGCTGCGAGACCAGAGAGAGAGAGACATGCAACAAGGCCCCTGCAAGCTTGCAAAGAAATCGATGCGAAGACGCCAAGGTCTAAGGGTCTCACTGGTCCGTAGTCCGCCCAGGAGCAGAGAACTTCAGGCGCCCGGTACCACCGGGTGCAAACGTACCTACAGAGGATAGAAGACAAGGGAGGCATGAGAGACTCTCATAGACTCTCTCTCTCTCTCTCTTTCGGCCCTCCTCTCTTCCCGGAGAGAGGGAAATCTTTCATCTACCCCAGCCTTGCAGACCATATGCGCCACTATGTTTTCTGATTTTTGCTGCGACCATTTTATTTCAGAAGACACATCGAGACCTAAAACGGCTCACAAGCCCAGCAACCTCGCGGTGCCCCCTGTAGAGCCGCCCTTGTGAAGCGGCCAGTACAGCTGCCAGTGAACCATTTTAGGGCACTTTCCTGAACACCTGGCGCGTTGGCTTTGCCCGTGATTCCTGTCACCTCGAAGTAAATTCGATCCTCTTTTCGGAATTTACTTCGCCAGTGTAAGGACACGTTAAGAGCACCTTCTATGGCAGGCCCACACAAGAACAACCTTGCTAGTAGCCACTTCTGAAGGATCAACATCTGCCTCACACATACCCATGGCGTAAGATATCGCCTAATTGGCACAAACTGCAAAGCCCGTTTAAGGGACGGCTCAACTTGCAGCGTCTTCTACTGAAGACGGAAACTGGCACAGGTGCCGCGCATTCCGGGTCAACATCTTGTTGGAATGGGATCTCGTCAAAACAATGGAAGATGTTTTTAAAGCAACTAAGGCCGAAATCAAGCTTGCAAAACAAAATCAACAACCGCATTAAGGGCAAGCCTTTGCTGTGTGCCACTCTCGCTTCATCTCCCGCATTTCTCAGCACTTCTCATTTTGCCCCTGTTCTTTTCTCACTCGTCTCCTCTGCCTCCTCTGCCTCCTCTGCCTCCTCTGCCTCCGCTGCCTCCGCTGTCCTCTCTCCTTCTGGTCTTTCAGAATCATGGTCTCTCGGTTCCCGGCTCTGTGAGGGGCCGGAAGTCGCCGTTGCTCATCGCAAGCCGCGCCAACCTCGCACAACGAACCGAACGGAACGGCAAGATGAAAGGAGCAACCATGAGCAACCATGAGCAACCATGAGCAAGACCAAACACAGGACAACTTCTGACGCAGGCGGTGGGATGGCATGCATGCTCGCACCCGTAGTCGCAGATCTTGAGGTCACAGTTGCTGTTCACAAGCAAGTTCCGCGGCTTGAGGTCTGGCGAAGAAAGCAAAATGCAACAGCCATGCGGGACACAGCTAACAGTCAAAGGCAACCTTGCAACGCGCAGCAAGCACGCAGCATGGCACTCAGCATTGCCTCGATGTATCACACCGGCTGAGTGCATGAACTTGAGCCCACGAAGAATCTGCAACAGGCCATTGGACACTTGCGCGCAAACTGCTGAAGTGCTGAGCCTACACACGGTCCCGGAGTCCCGCGCGCCTGATATATGAAAAACTGGCAGTGCTCATCAGAGAGCGGCTGGGGGCTCTTCAAAATTGAAGCCAGGTCCGTCTCCATGAGCTCGGATACGACATAGATGTCCTTCACACAAGCAACAACATGGCCCCACCAACTGAAGAAAGAGCAAAAAACTAGGTGCCATTGCTTCTGGACTCCTCAAAGCTTGATTTCAAACCGGGCAAGAAGACATACCTGCACCGTCAGGAATACTCCTGTCTCCAATGCCAATATTAGGTCCAATATTAGGTCCAATATTAGACTCACTGAAGAAGCTGTGACATGCCGCGACATGCCGCGCCAACGAGCTGCGCTAGACATTCGACAGTCTGCCTGATGTCTATGAGGTTCTCGTGCCGGAGGTGCCGAAGGATCTTGAGTTCCCGCAACGTCCGCTTGGCGAAGGTGATGTCATCGAAAGCACTCCTCAGCGTGAATTGCAATGCAAAAAAAACCGGCGAAGGCCGCGGGCTCTCGCTTATTGGGCCTTTGGGCTCCCCAAAAGCTCCCCGCTCGATCTTCTTGATCGCGACAGTGTCTCCCGTGTGCTCATCCTGGCTACAACTGGATCACGATGGCGGCTCTTTCACGTTTACGCAAATTGCTTTTAACACTAGCAGCACAGACAGCCACAACCACGCTTTGCACACGCGCGCGCGCTCGAACGCACACAGGCATCCACGCACACGTGTGCACGTGCACAAACACACACTGAGACAGACACTGGCGTCCATCAGGCCACGGAGGAAAGGTTGATGTCGGATAAGATGTATATGCCGGTCCACCCATGCTCCGCATGCGGCTACCCGTGCTGGCATCACACAACTGCTCCAAACGAGCTCCAGCGCAGATGATGAGGATGATGATGATGATGACGATGATGATGGTGATCCTGGCCAAACACCGGGGAAGGCAAGACAGGATGAAATCCACAGTAACGCCACCGGCAGCGGCGTAGGCGCAACCAAGTGCTGCTCTCCAGGTTTTCAACGGAGTGCCAGAAGTAAACTTCGCCGCCCAGGCGCTCGCAGGTATATTTCACGCAAGAGGAAGGAACGGAAAGCAACAAAGTCAAGGGCCGTCCCAGGCCTAAGCCTTCTAACTTCCTCCCATTCGTGCTCTCGTGAGGTGTCGGTCTTCTCATCGCACGTTCAACCGACTGCCTGCTGCGATGTGCGTCTCCAGTGGCCATGCACATGCGTCTGGGCATGACAGCAGGATGACCTGAGACTTGTGAAGTCACCGCTTCCGTGCTCGACTGGCAACCCTTGGAGATGCCTTGCTTGCCGACATGGCACTACAGAGAAGGCAACGAAATCGTGCGCATTTTCTGACACTTCTTGTTCACACAATGTATGGAAATCTGGTACTGTTGTTAGAAAGAAAAACGAGAAAAACTATGCCAGCGTAGACCCCCAAACAGTGAGCAGGGCCAGAAAAGGCCAAAGAAGGCCAGAAGAGCACCGACACTCCCGGGAACAACAAGTACAAGAGTTCGTGGGGGGCCGAATTCCCTTGCGGGTCAAAAAGACGCCAACCACTGGGGGATTCGGCTTGCACGCGTGTGGAACTTGGGGGCCAGCTGATGCTCATGATGCTCAACCCCAAAATCGCTACCCCGTAATACTAACGCAGGGTTGACCCTAAACCCTCAACCCCCCCCCCTAAAGCCTGTGTTTTTATTGATCCTGCCCCCAGATGGTCTCACCGCACACCCTCCCTGTAGAGGGCAGGACCAAGAAAAACATAGGGTGGATTAGGGTTTAGGGCTCAGGGCTCAGAGGGTTTGGGGTTTAGGGTTCAAGGCTCAGAGGGTTTAATTAGGGCTTAGGGCTTAGGGCTCAACCCTCAGCAAACCCTAAACCCTAAGGCCCCCGCTAAACCCTGTGAACAATCACAAAGCCAGCTAAAAGCTTCATTTTTTAAGTGTTCCCATCGCTTCACAGACAGCGGGAGCATCGAAATGCAACGGATTCCGCGCGAAACCACAGCAGGAGCATCGAAACGCAACAGAAGTCGCGCGAAACCACAGCGGGAGCGTCGAAACCAAGGCCCCGCCCCACCGCGTGCGCCGTTGCGGTCGGCAACCTCAGCGGCCCCCCCAGAAGAGGCCTGAAGAGGCCACGCGAGGCCGGAATTCGCGCGAAACCGAAGCGGGAGCATCGAAACGCAACGGAATTCGCGCGAAACCACAGCAGGAGCGTCGAAACCAAGGCCCCGTCTCACCGCGCGCGCCGTTGCAGTCGGGGACCTAAGTGGCCCCAGAAGAGGCCGGAAGTCGCGCGAAACCACAGCGGGAGCATCGAAATGCAACGGAATTCGCGCGAAACCACAGCGAGAGCATCGAAACGCAACGGAATTCACGCGAAACCACAGCGGCGCATCGAAACGCAACGTAATTCGCGCGAAACCACAGCGGGAGCGTCGAAACCAAGGCCCCGTCCCACCGCGCGCGCCGTTGCGGTCAGCAACCTAAGTGAAGTGACCCCCCCAGAAAAGGTCTGAAGACGCCACGAGAGGCTGGAGTTCGCGCGAAACCACAGCGGGAGCATCAAAATGCAACGGAATTCGCGCGAAACCACAGCCGGAGCATCGAAACGCAACGGAATTCGCGCGAAACCACAGCGGGAGCATCGAAACGCAACGTAATTCGCGCGAAACCACATCCGGGAGCGTCGAAACCAAGGCCCCGTCCCACTGCGCGCGCCGTTGCGGTCAGAGAAGCCACGAGAGGACGAACCACAGCAAGAGCATCGAAACGCAACGGAATTCGGACCCGTCCCACGCGCGCCATTGCGGTCAGCAAGTGGCCCCCCCACAAGAGGCCTGAAGAAGCCACGAGAGGCCGGAATTCGCGCGAAACCACAGCGGCAGCATCGAAACGCAACCGAATTCGCGCGAAGCCACGGCAGGAGTGTCGAAACGAAGGCCCCGTCCCACCGCACACGCCGTTGCGGTCGGCAACCTAATTTAGTGGCCCCCCCAGAAGAGGCCTGAAGAGGCCACGAGAGGCCCGAATTCGCGCGAAACCACAGCGGGAGCATCGAAATGCAACGGTAGTATTCGCGCGAAACCACAGCGGGAGCTTCAAAACGCAACGGAATTCGCGCGAAACCGCAGCGGGAGCGTCGAAACCAAGGACCCGTCCCACCGACGTTGCGGTCGGCAACCTAAGTGGCCCCCCCAGAAGAGGCCTGAAGAGGCCACGCGAGGCCGGAATTTGCGCGAAACCGCAGCGGGAGCATCGAAATACAACGGAATTCGCGCGAAACCACAGCGGGAGCATCGAAACGCAACGGAATTCGCGCGAAACCACAGCGGGAGCGTCGAAACCAAGGCCCCGTCCCACCGCGCGCGCCGTTGCGGTCAGCAACCTAAGTGGCTCGCCCAGAAGAGGCCTGAAGAGGCCACGCGAGGCCGGAATTCGCGCGAAACCACAGCGGGAGCATCGAAATACAACGGAATTCGCGCGAAACCACAGCGGGAGCATCGAAACGCAACGGAATTCGCGCAGCGGGAGCATCGAAACCAAGGACCCGTCCCACCGCGCGCGGCGTTGCGGTCGGCAACCTAAGTGGCCCCCCCAGAAGAGGCCTGAAGAGGCCTGAAGAGGCCGGAATTCGCGCGAAACCACAGCGGGAGCATCGAAATGCAACGGAATTCGCGCGAAACCACAGCGGGAGCATCGAAACGCAACGCAATCCGCGCGAAACCACAGCGGGAGCGTCGAAACCAAGGCCCCGTCCCACCGCCGCGCGCCGTTGCTGTCAGCAACCAATTCCTTTACTCTGAACGTAAGAACCCCATTGTGCAAGCACTGTTTGGGGAACAAATACCATGCTGGTGCACAGGGTGGCATGCCACTCGTTGGTATAAGGACACCAAAAGGCGACCGGACAGCGCAATGCGCATATGCAAGACCAGCGCAAGATCCTTAACAACACACAGGCTCGCACCCTCGCACGAGCGCGCACAGGTTTGCGCGCGCACACACACACAGAGACAAACACAAGCGTACATGCACACCTGCACACGCGCGTCAACAAGCAAAAGGTGGGCAGAACAAGCTATAAAGCTCTATTCACGCGAGCTCAACCACCCCGCCCCCGTTGTCGAAATTTAGACCAATGCAGGCCAGGTAAAAGTCAATCTTCAGGACGCGATCCAGCACCATGCCGTCTTGAACTTTTCTTGAAGGAGGCTGGCTACGCAGTTCAAGCAACACATGCCCACCGGCGACAAGAGTTCTAGAATAAAAGCCAACGACAAACGTGACTCCATCGAGTGCCATATCAATCTTACACACTCACGGACCCAGCTGACATGGCAAACACGTGTTCTGGTTTTCGTTGACAGGCAATTGCAGGTATGTGGCGCTCCTGGCTGATTTCCCTGCGTTATGTGGTGCGACTGTCAGGTGTGTGGGAGAAGCAGAATGAACTCATGCAGTTTATCAACTGACTCTCTCCCTGTTCACTTCTGGCTCATGTTACATGTTCTTGTCTTTTGCGAGCTCATTGTTGCTTTCGCCGCTGCCTTGGCCAAGCACAGGGTTGGGTGAGGGCTGCGTTGAACGGTTAAACTTTCGGCGATTAAACGCACAATGTTTAAACAAACAGCGCGCTTTCGGTTCAGAATATTTAAACGGGTTAAACTGTTATCACGGGGTTTGAGCATTAAACGGTTAAAACGGTCAAATGGTTAAACGCACATGTTTAAACATATGTTTAAGCGTATGATTAAACATATGTTTAAACAGAAACACAGACGTGGCTGCAGAGAGTGCGCGTTTTGGGGTTTTTGGGGTTTTGGGGCTTTGGGGTCACATGGTTTAGGCTCTCAAAGTTTCAGCTCCAGGGCTTTGCAGAGCACCAATCTTGCACCAACACTTGCCCGGAGGACTGTTTTAAATTGTTTAAACACTTGGCAACAACTTCTTAAGCATGCTAAAACGCCTGGAGCCCCACCAAACGTTCAAAAGTTGGGCCTTGCGAACTGTTAAAAACTGTTTAAATGCTCCAAAGCCCGAACTCTGTTCATACACTTCAAACGCGTTTAAACTTCAAACGTGCTTGGCCCGTCCCTGGCCGAGCAGACCACGCCATAGGCACCCTGGCCCACCGCCTCCAGGACCTGGGAGAAGAGTAACGAGAGAGAGAGGAGAGGAGAGAGAGAGAGAGCGAGAGCGAGAGAGAGATAGAGAGAAGCTCGCGACTCGAGAGCCCGAAAGGACGAAAGGACCGGAGAAGAGTCATACCCCCTGTACTGCGCCGTAATGCTGCAATCATAGGCGATGAAATGCTGCGAGACTGTTAAAGCGCAGTTCGCCGAATTCAGCCAAAGGCGCTGTGAAGCGCCTTGGGGCCTCAGATCGAATCCAAGTGCTGGTTTTTTTCTGACGCGCTTCTGCTTCTTCTTCGTCTGCTTCTTCTGGGGAAGGCGAGCCTCCGAGAGGACCCTGCAGAGTAGGAACGAACACCACAATCTGCACTTCACACCCCTCACCGTCCTCACCCCGAGTTGGTCTGCAGCTCCCCGGTGTGTTTTCTACTGGAAACATTCTTTCACCCCTGCCACTGCACCCTTTTCCAAGATTCGTTCTCTCTCTCTCTCTCTCTCTCTCGCTCTCTTTCTTTCTCTCTCTCTTTCTTTCCTTCATGGGGCCTGAGGGGCAGTACGGCTTCCTTCATGAGACTTCACACATGGCGACAACAGTGCTAAGTGCGGCCTGGAAGTTGGAACCCAGCACAGGCGTGCCGTGCAGCTCCAGCTCCAGAGACTCGATCGGCATCTGGAACAACGCTGAGAAAGGTAGAAACGGTAGAAACGGCGATAAGGTGTGGGGCATTCTGACTCAAGCCGTAGGAGTGCTGGTAGTGTCTCCCGGCATTTTCAGGGCTTATGGACCCCTTGCGCAGGGACTCGCTATGGACCCCCTAGGCCCTCAGGATGCTCCCTTCTATGGTTTGAGAGCCACTTGAATTCCGCCCCCAAAGACTGTTCTCCCAGGATGCGGCCGAGGCGGGCAGAGTAGCTGACTAAATTGGGGGGGAGCACCGCAAGTATTGCGGCGCGGCTCACGACAATCGGCGAGTCAGGGGGCCCGCCGCAAAGAAGCGCCCCGGCCTCTTCTCTGGGGCAGAGTCGCAACTGCGACTGACTCAACGTTGGAGAGGCCGAGTCCGAAGAGTCCGAAGCCGCTGGAGGCCGCCCAGCTCCATCAATCGGAAACTCGAATTTCACGCCCCAATTCAGAGCACTCAGAAAGCCCAGAATCGCTTTCCCTGTTTTAAGACTATGTAGGAGTATGTAGGACGACTCCCCGCCCCCCACAACAAAGACCTGATGCTGCTGACCTCGCGACTTTACTTTTAACATTGCCGTGGTGACTCTCCAACTCACTGACAACCCAGAAACAGAACTCCAAGATAATGCATCTGCTGTTCATTGCCCTGAGCTTACACGTCTCTTGACTTGGCACAAGAGAGATTTCCTTGCCGAGAAGAACAACTTGCAGCTCAATCCAGCGCTGAACTAATCACAGCACTCAGCACGCTCAGCACGCCCAGCACGTTTTCCTCATGGAAAGCAGCAGGCAGCCGGACTCCGCGTGGGTTTGCAGGACACGGACCTAGCTTGTGAAAGGAGAGAACTGCGCTTGGCTTAAGCCGGGGGGAACTTTCGGGTGATTGGGGGGGGGGGGGGGGGGAAACTGGACCATTGCACCGTTGGACGCAGCGTCCTTGGTTTTAATGAGCTAGACAAAGGTCTGTGTTCCTGGTCGACCCACTCCTTCGATACTGCAACAACAGCGCAAGGCAGCGTCCCTGGACTCTCAACACTTGCTCCAAGTTCCTGCATCAATGCTTGATCCAAATCATCATGCTCCAAAGTTCACCCAAAGAAGGCGAAACATACGCTGCATACATCACAAGATGTTTGGCTATAACCATCACCGTCGGCAGGTTCGTGGACGTAACGTGCGATCTTCATATCACTGAGTGTACCATCTCAGTGCTCTCTGTCAATGCGTAATCTTCGGTGTCATGGGGCAGCATGTGCCTATCATGAAAATCCGGGCAATGAATGGTAATGTTAGTAATGTTCCCTGCATGTCTGAAACACTGAATTCGTCAGCATCACTTCTGTTACTGTGCAGAGTGCGGCAGTACTCAGTAGTCAAGTCTTCACCCCACACGTTCCCACACGTTCCCACACGTTCCCACACGTTCCCACACGTTCCCACACGCACATGATGCGGTTTCACAACAGACTTCAACGCACCCCGCGGGCGGCCTCGACTGGCTGGTCCATGCGGAAGGCGTCCGCCGGCACCCAAACGCCTCCACCTCCGCCCTCTTTCTCGCGAAGTAGAGCTCTTGCAGCTCCTGAGTTCCTTGTCCCTCTTGGGTCGCTTCTTTGGAGCACTGGCTGACTCTCCACATCTGTGACGTCCGTGACGTCCGTGACGTCCGTGAGAGCCAGCTCATCGGCAGGGACCATGCCCCATCCCGTGGGTGTCTCGACGAAGACGCCGAAAGTCATCACGACTTTCACTTTCCCCAACAACCAGCCATCTTGCGAGAGGCTCTCCAGTGCTGTGGGGTTGCAACGTCGGAACCTGGGAATCTCTGGCACTTCTGAAGTTGCCGCCGTTGCCGCAGTTGCCGCTGTTGCAGCTCTCTTTCTGGGCTTCGGCCTTCGTCGCAGTGTAGCCGTGAGCCGCTGCATGAGTTCTGCCTTGAGGCCCGCCGTCGCCAAGCCTCCGGACTCGCCAAGAAGGCTCCAACGCAAACGCTCCAAACAGACTCCAAAAAAGACTCAAACAAAGCGAAGTCGAAAGAAATTGGACCGACTCGCCCCCAGTGGACCCCTTTGCGTTTTAAGCGATGTTCGCCTCCCCTGATTTCTGTCCTATTCTGTCCTTCAACATCTTGCTTCCTTATTCGCGCGCCCCGCGCTTTGAAGTAGGAGCCGCGGCTGGTCCCATGGCGGGGTGCATTTTTTGCAATCGAGAGGGCTATGCAGGGCAGTGGAGGGGCGCCTTCAAAACCTGGCATCGTCAAGTAAGTCTAGTAGCACTCCGACCGCTATGACTGCAAACAAGGAGCATGGGACAAACCGCGCTCTCACCTAGTGTATGTGCGTCTAGCGACAGTCCACCCCCGGTGAAAGTGTTCCAGCCGGGTGGTCCGAATATGTTCGCTTACGTCCATGCTAGAGGGGATCTGCGTCTCCCGGTCTTCGAAATGACTTCATCCAAGCCCTTGGACGGGAGCGTGCTCCATCGCCTCAGGCAAAAGCCACGAAGCGGAGCCATGCACCAGTCTTCTGCGGAACAACAGAGACTTAACCCACATCTTCACAGTCTTCACACACTGAATCACTGAAGTCACTGAATTCACTGACACTCTTCTTCTATTTTCACCCGTCCTGAACGAGGACCGGCATTGCGGGGAAAAACACGGCGGATCTTGAAGGCGTATTTGTGTGTGAGGAAGATCAGAGAAAAAACGACGATGAAAAGACAAAAGACAGAGCAAAAAAAGAAGCACAAAACTGTTCTGACCTTGCTGAGCCAGCTGGGCTTTGAGCTGCGTCACGGTCATCTTCTCAATGTCCAGGGCCGCCTGCAGCCGATCTTGCAGCTCTTGCTTGCGACCGGTTCTGGGCAGGTGCCGCTCCAAGAGCTCCGCCTTCAACTCCGCCACCGTCCGAGCCGAGCTCGCTACGCCCGCGAGGCCCCCTCCGCCCCCTGCGCCCGCGCCCGCTGAGCTCAGCCTCGCCCTCAGCCTCGCCCTCAGCCTCGCCAGCGCTTGAGTCCTTTCTCGACTCTGGGAGCCATCCTGACCACAACGACCAAAGCGACCAAAATGACCGACAGCGTTCTGACCGAGGGAAGTCGGGGGAGGAATCCGGAAAGGGAGCGCGAGGCGGAGCGCCCAATCCAGAGCACCGATCATTGCGCCATTGCCTGTCAAGGGCCTCCTTACATCCCTCTCTCTCTCTCTTGATCCGCGCTGCGCCAAAAAAATCAACATCGTGCGAAATATATGGCAATACGATCGATGCATGAGGTGAGGGCACGGTGAGGGCGTGCAGGGTCAGAAGCGAAGGCTGTGACAGTGTGGGCCTGCGTGCTGTTTCTGACACTTCTGCTCCCAATATTTGCTGTGAGTGAAAACGGTGAAACTCTGGGAAACATTCAGCTAACGCCTCTCGGTCTCCGTTCGAATTCGAGAGAACACGAGCTGACTCCTATGTCACATCACGTCACATATCGGCTGCTCAAAGTAGTTGCTCTCTCATCTTCCAGATCGCTCAGAAGCACCGCCGTAATAGTAGCCTTCAGGGCATTCTACGGCACTACCGTACTAGGCCCGATCGCATATCACTTCATCACATGATGTCACTGTGTCACATTCACATCTACTGAAACTGCAGCCGCACTCGGAAACGAAGAAGAACGCCTGGCCTCCCGAAGCGATGCGTGGAGTGCAGAGGTCTGCACGGCCCGAGGGACAGAAGGACTCTGTAAAGTTTGGGGTGCCCAACGAAGGGCCCTGCAAGATCTCAACCTGAGTACAATTCATGCACGTCAGAGAACCTGGAATGTAATGTAAGCCGGCGTAAAAGCCGGTATGCACCGCTATAACATCATACAGCGACAGAACCGCAGAACCCATGACAGACATGTAAACCCCTGTTGCTTGCACAAGCCTCGTGATTGTCGATGACGCACTTCTGGTCACATTCATTTCGGCAGCCATTGAAAAAGTCCTCAAGCTGCCTCAACGTCGCACAAAGGTCCATCGCGGCGGTGCCGGGACGGGAGGGGGGTGATCGCCCTTGAGCACTGTGTCTCAGAAGGGCCGGTGCAGTTGGGCCATCGCTGCTCTCGTCTCAGCATCGCAAGCCCGGCTGCCGACTTTTTACGGAAAAATAGGTGCGCTGATGCCACGCATGCATGTCGAAACAACAAACTACATGGCAATCTGTAAACTGCATGACTGCATAGAACTAGAGTCACTGCTGCTTGGTGTCGCCACCAGAGGCACCTGGCAGGCTGTGGTTGCAAGCCTTGGACATGGATGATGCTTCCTTGATGATTCATTGATGCTTCCTTAAGAAAGGGACTGCTGTCCGATACCCAAAGTCTGCGCTCCTCCTAGGTCCTGTAGATAATGTGTACAACCGGCTCCTACTTCGATGCTTCATTCCCGAACATTCCCCGAAACTGTCAATCTGTTAATCCCAAGCTTTGACAGCCGGCAGAACAATTGGCGCAGGAGAGGTGCCTGTTGTACAAGTGTCAGACAAGAAGTGAGGAGAAAAAAGGAGTGTCTCGGGTAAGCAAAATCAAAAGAGAAAGCCTCTATGTCAGACTCTATGTCTCTGTCTCCGCCTGGCCTGCAAGCAGCCGGAGGCCCTCAAAGCGCTGGGCAAGAGAGCCGTAGAGCACAAGGTTGAGCCCTCGGCAAAAGGCCTCTGACCAGAAAAGGCGAACACTCAGAGCCACTCTCCACATGAAAACCTCTGCTCAACACAACAGCCTCAGTTTTAGCTGGGAGGAGCGGGCTGCAGTACTGGACACCACCACCTTTTCCCTTACACTGCTCCCCGCCCCCCACCACGCCCCAACACATGTGCACAAGACTCACGGCTAAAGGCAAAGGCATGTCGCGGCCTTAACCTATCTGAACCTCCAGGACTCCAAGAGCATAGGACCTACACCTGGACGTCTCGACATGCCAACGTGCAGGACTATTCCGACTATTTTGACTATTTTGTGTGTTCCACCCTTCATTTCTTCTTCGACTTGAGGCGGGGAGCAGGGGGAGGCTGTCCGGTGGGCTCCGCTTGCTGAGATTGCGTGCCTACATCACCAACACGTCAGGTGCTAGAACGAAGCCTGGACTCCAGAAAAGACATCGAAGAGTTCGAGTCTGACTTCAGATGCTTGCCGTCTAGTATCTTCACGCAAAGTCAACATTAACAGAACGAAGGATTGAATACACCTTCTGTTTGTCAATAGACAATCTTAGATCATGTGCTACCAGTAGTAGAACTACTAAGACATACAAGTAGATTGATAAGGGAACAGGTTGTGATCTTGCATCTCTCTCTTTCGTCTGTTTGAACCAAAACGATACACTAGTGGCTAAAGTAATGTGCGTGACTTTGGTGAAATAACGAGGGATGTGATATGTTTGTTTCACAACTATCTGCTCCTGAAGAAATGGAAATGGAACTTGTGAAATCTTGAGAATGCTAGCCTTACAGCCGAGAAGTATCCGGGTCCGGGAAGAGGGCGGTAGGCGAATTCCACCCAAGAATCGCGCAATCCACAAAATTTGGGGGGCAGAGGGGCCACACACCACATGTGCCTCGCCCTGGCCAGATGCTGGGTAGGCGATGGCCGGAGGGATGCTCGGCTTCAGGAAAGTGGCGCGGTTCTGGACGATGGAGCGCTCGTGGCAGAGACCTCGCAAGCCCTCGGGGCCCGCAAAGCGCCCAAAGCCCGAGTCCTGTTAGTGTTATGTAAGAGTGCTTAGACAGCTGCCTGTCAGGCTTGCATGGCCTATCAAAAGAAAGCTGGCAACAAAGGAAGAGGAAACGCGGGATGTCTCCGGGGGGGGGGGTTGTGCGGTGTATTTGTGCTGTTTGTTTGTGGATTCTGCCCGTCGGTCGTCGGTCCTTGAAGCCGCCGAAGGGCAGTGACTGGCTGAGGTAGGTGGTGCCCTCGACATCGTTTACGCTTGCCATGCCGGCCTGCGAATCTGAGAAAGAGAGGGCACCACATGACTGTCCATAAAGAGAGTGAGTAAAGAGAGAAACCGAGTCAGTAAAGGGGGGGGGGCGTTTGAAAGTGGGATCTTTGCTTAGAGGGGCCTCGAAGTGCCGGCAGAGGTACTCGGCTCGCGTCTCGTCTCCGTGAGCGCAGGAGGACAGCGCGAAGCGGCAGGCGTTGGCCAGGCGCAGCGCCTCGGCGTCGGCTTTCCGGCCTTCAAAGGGCACACGGAAGATGGAGAGGATCGGGCCGAAGGTCTCCTCCTGCGCAATGAGCATCTCCTCCGTTACGTCACAGAGCACCGTGGGCTCGAAGAACTGTGCACCTAAGTCCGAGTTCCTCTTCCCGCCGCTCAGGACTTTGGCGCCCTTCTGGACGGCGTCGTCGACCAGGCGCTGGTAATTCAAAAGACTGGGAGGATGCACACAGGCCCCGCAGTCCACCGACGGCCCCTCTGGGCCCAAAGGGGGTCCCTGCCGTAACTTTCTGACGAGATCTGCCACCTTCTGGCAGAAAGTATCATAGACCTTGTCGTAGACGATGAACCTTTCGGGCCCCGCACAGTTCTGGCCCATGTTCTGGAAGGCTCCACGAACCACCAGCTGCACCAGAGCCTCGTCAACCGTAGCATCCTCGCAAACCACGAAGGGATCCTTGCCCCCAAGCTCCAAGATTACCGGTGTCAGGATTTCTGCTCGACTGGCGGACTCCATTACCTTGCGTCCCACAGCCACACTCCCCACGAAGATCAGCTTGTCACAGTCTTCAACAAGCGCCTTTCCCGCTTCCGCGAATCCCGGTGCCAGCTGCACCAAGTCGGGAGGGGCTCCCGAGGCCTCGAGGCAAAGCCGAAGGGCCCTGCCCAAGTACAACGAAGACCAGGCTGCAAACTCAGACACTTTGATGACAATCGCATTCCCTGAGAAGACTGCTGCAATCATTGGGTTGAAAACGTTGTGAAAGGGATAGTTCCATGGCACGATGGCCCCAACCACGCCAACGGGCTCCCATTCGACGCGACTTGTCTTGTGCAAGTTCATGAGCCCAGAGTCCCGGTACTCGGGACGCAGGTATGTTTCACCGGAAGCGATGGTCCAGCGAAGCTTCTCCAACGTCACGGTCAGCTCCCCGACCATGGCGTCCAGCACTGTCTTGCCGGAGTCTCGACAGGCCACGGTGCAAATGGTATCCATGTTCTCCAAGATAAAGCGCTGGATGGTCCGCAGGACATATCGACGCTTCGCGAAGGAGGAAGTCTTCCAGGACTGCTGCGCAAGGCGAGCTTTTCTCACCTTCTCTTTCATCCCTTCCTCGCTACAAGCAGGAACTTCCCCCAGGAACTCCAAAGTGGCTGGATCCCAGCACGGAATGGACTCCTTGGGCCACGTCTTCCACTCCTTCTCGTAGTCAAACTTCCGAGCTTTCCCGCCTTCCGAGCTTTCCGAGCTTTCCGATGTGCCCCGGGATGTTTCAAAGCCTTGGGCCGGCACCGTCACCTTCGCAGAGCCTCCGTGACCAGAAAGCACATCCCCGAAAACCTGCTTTAGATTGAAGCATCGCCATAGCAACCAACAGCCCGACAGGACCAACAAGAGCTGAAGCCCGCTGCATCCCAGCGATGCAGCGAAGGCCTCCACCACGCCGGCGAGCCAAACAAGGAAGGCCATCTTCAGACGCGGCGATTTATGTCAAGCAGAGTTTCAAAAGAAGAGCTGTAACAGATTCGATCAGACTCCCTCCGCTAGAAGATCTCTCCCATCTGATATACGCCTCTCCTAGGAAAGCAAAAGAAGATTCTGGATACCATGCCCACAACTCCTGCCGTTCCTGCCATTATGCCACGACTGGTTTGCTGCAAGCAGTACTGAGTGACAGGACCTGAACCTTGGTTCTCTCTAGCAGACTCTAGCAGACTCTAGCATCTGTCAGCATCTTCCGGTGCATCACCCGCATGCTGCACGAGTGCACACGCCGCGAAGCACGAGATAGCACGCAACCGCGCGAAAGAAAAGAGCGCAGGCGAGAAGCGCCTTTTCTTGAACGCACTCTCGTCTCACATCTGACCGGCTCCGTTCCTCACGAGTTCGAGGTAAGGCCCCTCACCTGCAGAGAGTCAAGAAGCCTCCAAGTTCTCGGGGCCTCTTGACGTAGAGAGCTGAAGCACACATGTTGAGAACATTCTTCTACGGAACCCACAGTCTCTCCTCTAGGACCCCTTCCCCTAACTAACCCCCACCACTCCCCCACATATGTCTCACATCGTATGTCTTTCATATAGTGTCTCATCGGGGCACTGCTCGAGAGGGTGGCCCACCCCAGCACGCCGTCCGACAGGGCGCGCGCGTGGATCCGCTGCAGCCCCTGCTTCGAGCGCCAAACACAGAAAGAATGAGATTGAGAGAAAAGGGACTTTTCGAGAGAGAGAGCAGAATGCAGAAGCAGAGAGGCAGCAGGAGCTAAGCCTCGGGTGACGGCTCGGCCCTCGGCCCGGCGTGGACCTGGGCGAGTCTTGAGGAGGGCTCTCTTGAGAACGGAAATGAGTCAAAACTCTGAAAAGCCAACTTTGGGATCTTGCCCCCCTCGTACTATCAGTCCGTACTAGGGGGGGTACGATCATCCCGATTGAGGACTGCTAGCAGAAGGGGGGAACATCCCAACATCCCAACATCCCAGCTTAGACTCTATATGAATCTCGGGAGAGGGAGGGAGAGGGAGGGAGAGAGAGGGAGAGACGAACAAAAAGCATGTTTTACTTTGAACTCTCCCACCCTGTCTTGGTAGAGATACTCTGGGGTTGGGCACTCCGGGGAGACTCTGGCGTTGGAGACTCTGAAATTGGGCACTCCAGGAGACTCTGGGGTGGGCACTCCGGCGACACTCCAGGAATCGAGGAGTAGATCGGGCGAGGAGAAGAGTTCCGGGCGAGGAGAAGAGTTGAGTTCAAAATCGAACAACCCCACACCGAGGGCGGGTAATAAGGAAAAGAGGGAAAAGAACAAAAAAGTGAGAGACTGACGGAACAATAGAATGGAAGACTGCAAGAGAGTCAAGTCAGATGGAATTTATACTGCTCACCTGCAGCGGTCAACTTCAAACACCACCACGACGTTTGATTCTGAGGGTTGCATGGCAAACGGTGCTGGTGCGTCAAGTCCTCTGGCAAGTTGACACTTCAATCGTTTGTCATCGCATCTGCATATTTGTTGAAGGACGTATGTACTGCATGAGTACTCACGCACGCGTCATGACTGCACATGTCTAATCTTGTCTTTGCACGTTTGCGTGCATTGAAGATGTCGATTACTGGCCACTGATCGAGCTGTCGCATCGCTTCTACTGGGCAAAATGTCCCTTTGGCCCGCCCATTGAACGCAGATATCCGAGTCGGGGGAAGTCGGCTCGTGATTCTCTGCTTTCTCCATGCCGACGAATGCTGAGAACCTGGCCTCGACGAGCTCTCCCACCTCCAGGGCCCTCATGGCCGGACCGATGGCCAAACTCTCTGTGAGGTTCACCTCCCGCTTGACCTCGTAGACCACGCGGATGATCCTCGTCGACAGAGCCGCTCGCCGCTCGCCGCTCGCGCATGAGAGATGCTCTCAGGTGAGTTACGCTCGCACGCACAGGTCACAAGGAGACGGCACACGCTTCACTATACACTCTGTCAAACACATGGCACTCCTGGCAAACTCCTCGCGGCTGACTTTGACGGCCTGCTTTCTTGCAAGGGGCTTTCATGTGTGCAGACAATGCACACACATTGCACACGCTACACATGATGTGCGCATGTCACTACATGTCGACACTTCTGGATTGAACTGTTCTCGATACTAAACCCGGCGCCCATGGCAGCGTCACGATGCCTGTAATGCAGCCTCTTGAGAGGTCTTGCAAGCTGCAAAGGCGCGTGCCAGCCTCATGAGAAGCTCATATACCGTCATTTACCAACAGGAAAAACACACAGAAGCAGGCATATCCATGAATGCATCACAGTACACCAGTGCACCAACACCGTATCAACACTGTATTGCTCTGCGCACTTCTCCACTTCGACGTCGCAGTTGTTCTCCTTGAGGAAGGCGTGGGCCTCTCGGGAAGTACTGCAAAGAGTTCTTTGCACCCCTCCACTCTTTCCACTGACGCTTCTTCAAAAAAAAAACTGAGCTCTGTGCGCCGCATTCAGCTTATCATTCTTTAGCCACTGCTCAGCGGCTCAGCCGATTTCCTATAGCGAAAAGCCGGGGGGGGGGGGGCCTCTTCCACGGAGGCCACGTCCTCTCCCTTGGCAATGATCTGAAAGAGGTCCACGGCTTTGCCGCCCAGCTGCTCAATGCACTGCCGCAGCTTCATGGCGACCTCCATCCGCACCTCCTCGACCTTCAAAGCCGCAATGCGGGCGGTAACTTTACGGCCCTCAGAGGCGCGGCGTTCAGCGAGAACAATGCGAGCTTCGAGCTTCGACAGGCGAAGCGACAGCTGCCGAAGCTTCTCTTGCAGCTCCTTCAGCTCCTTCAGCTCTGCAGAGTCCGCAGCAGAGTCCTTTGGCTCAACGTCCTTCGGCTCTTTCTTGGGCTCCGCGTCCGGCGCTTCCTGCGTCTCTGCGCTCTCAGGCTTCGCCGGCTCCTGCTCATCTTTCCCTTCTTTCCCTTCTTTCCCTTCTCTCCCTTCTTTCTTGGGCGGCTTCTCTGCAGCCTTGGGCTGAACCAGTACGAGCTGCATGACACTGTGACGGAGAGCGCGCAGGTGGCTGAGGAAGCCCGGCACGGCGTTCCTGGCTGCTTGGAGGGCAGCATCCAGAGCGGCCTCGGAGCGCTGGAGCTCCTCCGGGCTTTCCGAGGAAGCCTTCACGAAAGCTGCTGAGGCAGACTCCACTTCCACCACCTTCTTTTCAAGATCCGACCAGGCAATGGCCTCGACCTCTGCTGAGACACTTCGCTTGCGCTGTTTCAGATACTCCTGGTACTCTGCTTCCACCTTCAGGGCTTCGGACTCTAGCGGGTTCTCGCTTTTCTCCTCGCTTTTCTCCTGCTTCTCTTGCTTCTCTTGCTTCTTCCGAGACTCGAAGCGTGCAATGCCCACGGCGGTCCGCAGTTGCTGGAAGCGAGTCGGCTCCAAGCCGGGTGCTCCGGGCAGCGTGAGCTGCTGGAAAATCCGATCCAGGCTTGCGGCTGGGATGGCGAAACCATACTCGAGTCTGGCAAAGTTCAGGACTTCATTTCGGGACAGGAAGCCGTCCTCGTCCTGGTCGTAGCTCCTAAAGATATCGCCCGATTTTCGGTCCCAGAGCATGGGCGCGGCATTGTTCTGGATCCGCTCGCGGCTCTCCGAAGACATTTTCAAGGCTTGCTGGGCGGCCATTTGGCACTGCTGCAAGCGGGCCTCGCTTCGCTGCACGAAAACCAGCATTTCTTGTCGCAACGTCTCCACTTCGAGCAGCGCCATCTTGTGCCCTTCAAGGAACTTCCAGGCACCTTCCGCACTTTGCTGCGCCAGGGCCCCAAGCTTGCCACAGACACGGCCTTGTCGCAGCGCTTCCTCTGCGCCTTTGGGGAAGCTGGAGAGCAACGCGTCACGGCCACTGGCTGCGCCGCTCCCTTGGCTTGTTTGTGGGCTTTGATTTTGTGTCGAGAGCTGGTAGAGCTGCTCCGAGACGGTCCGTGCCTTTTGTGCCTCCTCCTCGGCCTTTCCAAGGCAAGCCTCGACTTCGGTCAGAACCGACCGAGCCTGTTGCTCCTTGACCTTAAGTTCCTCTAAGCGGATTCGTTCCTTTTCCTCCTGCTCTTTCAGCCTCTCCTCCATCTGCTTCACGTACTGCTGCGCGTACTGGAAGACCCGGTCAGCCTCCGCCTGCAAGGCCTCGCGCTGGTCCCCCGTGTCCGGGAGCTCCGTGCGCATCACCTCCTGGAACTCGGCGCTCATCATCGCCCAGTTCTCGGGCGTCGCGTCCGAAAGCTTCTGCAAGGCCTTCAGAACATTCAGGTTGGCTGCTTGCTGCCGCTTTGACTTCGCCTCTTGCTCGAGGCGGACCTGACAACAGATGACAACATGTAGGCAAACACAACTGACAGTGGACTTGAGAAGTGTCTCAAAGGGCAGGGCGCGCTGCACCAGGTCATGAGCTTGACCCGCCATGTGCTTACTGCAAATGAACGCTTTTGTTTTGATAACATGAACTCTAATTTATGCCGCTATGCACTTGGGTCTGAGTGAGGCAGGGTCCATGCCAACTTCGCGGCAGGAAGCTCTTTCTTCTCCTTTTTACGGGAGTGCCCCACCCCACCACCCGGCACACCACCCCCCTTCCCCACAGGGCAACTTTCGGCTCTGTCAGCTCGTTTTCTCTCAGGTGGCCAGGTGACCCTCCGGTAGCCGTCCGGTAGCCCTCAGGTAGCCCTCAGGTGGCCCTGTGTTCCCTCAGCCCCGTCCACGGGTGTTGCGGTCCAGCAACCCAAGCTTGCCACGGAATGAAAAATGTTTATAGTATCCACCCTGCGCCCCATGAGAAACTTTCTCCTCAAGCGACGCAATCACTTGAGGAGGGACTGGGACGAAAGCTAGTTGATGAGCTGGGGGGAGGCGGCAATAGTGGCGGTAGCCACGAACGTTGAGGCCGTCATTGACCGCTGCTGTTGTCGCTGCCTTCTTTTGGGGAAGGAGATATGGAGGCAAAAGCCCGAGGGCTGAGAGGACAGCATCATTGGCGCCACTTTGGGGGGGGGGGGGGGGGGGGGGGGGCGGGGGGGGGCGGGGGGGGTAAGAAGTGACCGAAGGAATCCTTCGGCACATGCATCAACACGGGTCCTGTTTCCCTCGCACCCTGGCCCAAAGCATCACCTTCCAAGACCCGAAAATCACCCGAAAACAGGGCCGAGTGACAACCCCCAAATCCCGGCATGCCCCGCAGTCTGGCTGTAAAGACCAGGTTGTTACAGCAATGGAATGTCTGATTCACACTGCTGTGCTGAAGGATCACTGACCTTCTCTTCCTCTTCCCGGCGCTTGAGCTCCTCTTCACGGGCAACTTTCTCCTTTGCGACGGTCTCTTCTGCGGAGCTCAAGACTCGGCCCGCTTCTTCGCGTAACGTCGTCTCTTTCTCGCCCGTGTAAGGGAGCTCCGAGGCCATGATGCGCTCGAAATCAGCCTTCAAGCTGTCGAAGTTGGCAAGGTTCACCCCAGACATCCGGTGAAAGCACGCGACTACTGCCTGGATTGCCTTCTGCTGCTTATCCTCTGGCTTCTCCTTCTCCTTGCGCACGTCACGTTGCTGGCTTTCCGACATGTCGCGAACGTCCCTCTCGCGGCCGCCGCGGTCGCCGCGGTCGCCACGGTCGCCGCGGTCGCCGCGGTCCCTGTCCCGGTCCCCGCGGTCCCGGTCCGCGCGGTCTCGGTCCCCGCGGTCCCGGTCCCGGTCTCGGTCACGCTCGCGGTCTCGGCCGCTGTCGCCAGCCTCTCGTCGGCGACGCTCCTCCAGCTTCCGCTGCATCTTCTCCTCGTGCTTCCGGCGCTCTTCCTCCTTCTTTTGGCGCTCGACCCGCTCCTGCTCTTTCCGACGGGCACGCTCCGCTTCCTCCTTCTCCTCAAGAACGCGGCGCCGCTTCCGCTCCTCTTCCTCCTCTTCTTCCCGCTTCCTTCTGCGCTCCTCCTGAAGCCGACGCTCTTCCTCCTCTTCTCTGCGCCGCCGTCGCTCCTCCTCTTCTTTCCGGCGCCTCCTTTCTTCTCTCTCCTCCTCTTCCCTGCGCTCCTCCTCCTTGCGCCGGCGTCGCTCGCGTTCTTCCTCTTCACGCCTTTCCTCCTCCCTCTTCCTTCGGCGCTCCTCCTCTTCCTTGCGTCGGTCCTCTTCTTCCTTTCTTCGCCGTCGGTCCTCCTCCTCTTTGCGGCGGCGGCGCTCCTCCTCCTCCTCCTCCTTCTTCCGTCGCTTCTCATCTTCTTCTTTCCGACGACGCTCCTCTTCCCTCTCACGATCCTTTCGCAGACGCTCGCGCTCGTCCTCTTCCTCTCTCTTGCGCTTGTCCTCCTTGTCCTTCTTCTTCTGGTCCTTTTCCCGCTGTTTCTTCTTCTTCTTCTCCTCTTTGTCATCAAAGGCTCTCCCTTGAGCTGTGTCTGCGGCTTTGTCCGGAACCGCCGGAACCTTCTCCTGTTCTTTCCGCATCCGCAGTTCTTCAGCCTTCTTTTTGCGTGCCTCTTCTCTCTGACGAAGTTGCTCCATGAGTCGTCGATCCTCAGCTTCTTGCAGCTCTAGCTCTCGCTCCTCGGCCGTGAGATCCTTTGGGTCCTTCTTGTCTTCCCGCTCCGACTTCTTGCCCCTCGCTCGTGCACGAGCTTCGCTTTCCGAAGACCCTTCGTCCTTGGAAGGTGCTGCTTTCGGTTTGGGGACTTCTTCATCTTCCTCTTCGTCCTCCTCCTCCTCCTCTTCCTCCTCCTCATCGTCGTCATCATCTTTCTTGTCTCTCGGTTCCTCCTTCTTCTGGCTCTTTTGGCTCTCTTTGGCGAGCTGCGGTGCAGCAGTCACTGTGAAGGTTTTGTCGATAGGCCCGTCGTGGGGCACGTTCCACTCTGCAGGCGGCGGTGACGTCGCCTGCACACCAAAGCTTATGAAAACATTCACGCTCGCGCAAAACAGCTGCAACAGACGCAACAGACTGCAACAGCAACACACTGCTTCAGCGTAGCAATCATGCTCCCGCCTTGCGACTCGGATGGTACGCCCAGACCATCTCACCGCCAACACTGGGACTGAACCACCAACCACAATTCTCGTCACCGTCTCGTTCATCCCAGTAGTAGATGAGCACATCTAAATCGTCATCGTCATCGGGCGTGTCCTCCGGCTTCTTCTTATAGACAGGCTTACCATGGTTGGTGCCGTGCCGGAAGTATGTTCCTTTGACGATCTCGCTGATGGTTTTGTTGGCGCAGCCGCTGACAACCAGTGGGACATCCAGTTGGGCCTCACAAGTTCCAATTTCTACGAGAGGAAGGCGTTGCAAGATAAATCCATTTTCGGTGATTTCTAGATTTCAGTGTGATTTCGTCTACCCGAGGAACTGGCCAACGCTTCTGCCTCCTTGGCTTCTTTTGCCTTCTGCACTTGAGCGGCTGGGATGAGCTTGGCGACGCTCTTCGTTTGTGAAGCCTCAGAATCTGACACCTCCGCAGCCTTGCCTGGCAGTTGTCACAGGCACTTCGAGGAGAATGTTGGGGGGGGGGGGGGGAGTTCCAGCTGGAGATGGCTGTGGCACATCACTCACATCACGGCAGGATCGGATGGACCTTCTTTCTTGGGCCGTTCCGACGAAGACTTTCTTCTTTTCTTCTCGTTCTTCTCCTCCTTCTTGCGCGGAGGGCTGGAGCTGCTGCGGCGTCGGCGTCGATCCTGCAGCAATGTGTTCTTGAGGAGCACGCGGTGCTGTCCAAAGCATGTCACAGGGTTTTTTCACAATGTGTCACGTCTTGTCACGCTTTCCATCGCCTTCTTTCCCATGGAGTCGTGGCCTTGGTCGCGGGAACACACATGCACTTCATCTTGTGGAATCACTTCCTTCGTATTGGAGTCTCCCGTTAACTAAGCTCTCCGCCTACAAAGGAGGAGCACCTGGGCGTCGAGCGTGATCTGCTATGCTCGGCTGTCCGTGCCGACCATACGAGCGCCCAGGTAATACACCAAAACCACAACTCTGAGCCAAAACGCTGCGTTTGGAAGAGAAGGATGGATTGGCATGCGACTGACAAGTGTGTTGTTTACACTGCAAAATGCGAGATGGGAAGATTGCGAAAGGCATGCACAGTGGACTCAGCAAGCCCTGCGTGGGCAAAGCAGATTTCTCACAACATGAAGATTCCCTTCCGAACACGAAGCGCTGGGTGAGCTCAAGGTCTCCTTAAGAGACGAAGGCTCCCAAAACCCTGCCCGCTACTCACTCCTTAGGAGTGGCACTATTTCGGCATTCCTTTCACGACCTGAAAGGGGCAAAAAGCACGAAGAAGCAAGAGAAGCACTCAGAGGCCAGAAGCTGGAGCATGTCTGCAAGTCTCCGGCTGTGAATGCTGCAAAAAACTCCCTTGCGAGTCCACTGCAAGTGTCGGGCATTTTGGCCCTCCGAGCGGCATCCTCCTTCCGTTTCACCTTGGCCTCCTCGGACCTCGCCTGAAAAGAGGGCGATCATCAATTTGGATGAGCCCCCCAAAAAAAGAAATGGCCACCCCTCCGTCATCTGCATCTGCCCGGCCTGCAGGACCAGTCTTCGTGCCTCCTCCATGTACTTGTGGTCCTCTGCTCGGGGGTGTGTGGGGGGGTTCTATAGAGCTGTTGCAACAGGAGACGAATGCACTCCCTGCCCCGCAGTTCTTCGGACTGTTCTATCATATGGCAGAATGGGACGGCCATTCTTAATCACTTGGTACAACTTGGAACACACATCAGCCGGCGGCTGCTTTGCCGCGGCATGCTACCGAAAACTGCGACGATCAGATTCGTGCACCACGAGGGCACACATACAGTTCACAAGGCAGCTCATGCATTCAAGAAAACTTGGGCGAATTCAGGGCCAAAACACCGGCTACATTTTCTCAAAGTGGTGCTAGAAGCAATGCGCCAAGCGAAAGTACCTAGTCTACACTACGAGCCGGCGAGTTGTGGACGCTGTGTCCGCTGCTGAGTACGTTTCCCCTTGCAGGCGGGCCGGGGCGGGCCGGGGCGGGCCCGGGAAGGTGAGGACTGAGGGAGGGGACAAGTTGACAAAGCGGTCAAAAGCCTTTTTTCCGCGTGAGCGATCCGGTACCAGCACAAGCAAGACTTGTTCTGTTTGCACAAGGGCCACTTTCTGGCAGAGTTCACTCCATGCACAAAGACGAGTCGAGCTTGTCTGCAATGGAGGTGTTGGCTTTCTTCTGGTCCGGAACGGGAGGAGGCCGGGGAGGAGGCCGGGGAGGAGCCTTTATGCAGTGGAGGACCCTTGGCAGTCCAAAAGCCAGATCCGGCCTTTTGGCGAGTTCCTGTATGGCTTGGCTGTCGAGCATCAGTCCACTGGCATCGCTGCCTTCTGTCGGTTCACCCAAGAAGTTCAAGCAGCCGTGCAAGACATTTTAGTCGGACTACGAAGCCAAAAGTAAAAACTGCTGGCAGAATGAAAAAGGCGAAGCATGGCAAGGCCATGACTCGCGAATCTCGACTCGTTCACCCGGAATCAAGTGGTGCCGACGGAGCCCCCTCCACCCGCCTTCCCCCACCTGAAAGCCCCTCGCCGCCTTTTCAGCCCTGTCCCCACCCCGTAAGCGACCGCTGCGGTCACAACAGAATGCATCGGCGATAGGACTCAGCCTTTTTTGGCGTTCTGCCAAATACCATGCTGGTGATGAGGAGATTGAAGCTTGGGAACTAGAGGAGCTGGGCTCTGCTGACAGCTGTAGATGCTGTAAAGGTCTGCAAAGGGCCTTCGGCACCCCGTACACCTCAGAGGCCTCCTGGACGACCTGCAGCGCGGAGCGACTGCACGTGCGACACACAGACAACCACGTCGAGAACGATTCGGTTTACAGAGGTGAGAAGAGGTGTGAGATCTCGTGCTCGCCGTCTGTGCCTTGTCGATCTCATTTGCCACTCGACCAGCCTCAGAAACGCGCCCCTACACACACATCTCCCTGCAAAGTTTCGCGTGTGTGAAACACAATGACGCAGCAGTCCCTGACTTGTGTTCTTGCGCTCTCGGAGCACCACGGACCCCAGCACCGGCTCAATGGACTTCATCAGGCTCAAGCAGTACCTCCATGTTTGGGAAGAAGTGACGTTGAACAACAACAAAAACTCCCTCGCCGCCCCTTCCACTCTGACCGGAAGGCTCGGTGCGCCCGGAGGTCATAGGCGAGCCTCGCAGACTCGCGTGAAGTTGAACATTAGGAAGATACATGTAAGAAAAAACATAGTTACATAAAGTCATAAAGAATATTATATATATATATATAGCATCCATACATACATGATATGCATATTTGCATTAAAGATTGCATTTCGTACGCGCAGATATGTATATATGTATACAGATGAAAGTCAGAATTGAGGTACTGCAACATCACGGGAATCGATTTGCATGGTCTTACAAGGCTCTCTCGCTCCCTGTCTGAAGGCTCAATCTACTCTCTGCGTCTCTCGTTCACCCCCCTTTTCACCTCTTTTCACCTCTTTGTCTTCTTCCTTTCTTCCTTTCCTCCTTTCTCTCTCGCTCTCTCTCTCTCTCTCTCTCTCTCTTTCTTGTTCCTCTCTCTCTCTCTCTCTTCTCTTTCTCCTTTCGAAGGCCGAGGGGCTGCCAAGCCTTTGAGAGCGGGTGCTGTGCATCCACCGCATCCGCAATTCCCTCCGCGGCCTCGCACTCAACATCTCAAAGCTCTCTGAATAATCTCTCGAATTCTCGAAACTCTGAAAAGAGTTTTGGCACCGGATCCACAGGCAAAATTCCGCGAAACACTGTACTTCCCCCCCTCCCCCCCCCCCCGGTCTTCTGCCACATTTTTGCTGCTGAGGGTTCGTATGTCCTGCTGCGCACCTTGTTCGGCTTGCGCGGGGCCCTTGCAAGGCTGCGCCTAAACTACTTTCGTGCGGTTGGTGCTGCATATTGGCGCGAGCTTGTGCTGCTTCTGCGCGTTGGCTTGCAGTTTGTGAGCGCAAGCTGAATCTGAATTACACAGGTGCTTTTGCTTTTCCGGAGGCACGTGTTGTCCGAACTCCCAGCCTTCGCCCAACCCTGCACCATTGCACCATCCTCCCGGCCTTCTGCAGAGCCTTCTGCCAAAGGCTATGGGGATGCGAGTTGCTGCTCAAAGCACCCACTCACACACTCTCACATGCTGAGCGCACGTGTGCTGCACACGTACGCTTCATCACGATTTCAGGCAGGGGCCTTGATTGCATACTCGATCCGAGCGGCCCTCCGCAGGGAGTCCTCGGAGAGCTTTGCCGGGTGTTTGTTGATGTGGCGCTGGTTGTTGTAGGGTTGTAGGGCTAGGGTCTACAGTCCCAAGTTTCCCAAAGTTATTCTGCGAACTCAGTTTGCTGAGGTGACCTGGGGTCGCTATTATCACAAGCTTTGTGTTGTTTTCACGGGTGTGTGGTTAAGTTTGTGTGTAGGCTTTTGAGGTTGAGGGTTTAGGGTTTCTCTGCTCCTGACGCCGGAATCTAGCCCGTCCAGTTCTAAGACCTTTTTGGATCGAAATGAGGCCCTGAGGCTAAGGCTACACAGCTTCAACCTAGTGGCGTAAAGGTTTCAGGGCTTAAGGGGGATTGGCTTCAGCTCAGGCCCTCCCCCCTTAATTTGCTTGGGGCCCCCAGGGTCGTTTCTTTATAGAGGGGCCCAGATTTATTTGTTTTGTCTTTTTTCGGGGGTGAGCCCTACTAAACCAAGTAAAACATTGCAACCTCATTGCAAGAAAGCCGTGTGGACTTGCGGGACTCAAGGAAAACAAGAAAAGGCAGCTCTCCTCGCCCAACTCGTCAGAAAGAGCACTGGCCGCCTCGAGAGCGCGCCACGAGTTCCCACGTCTGAGTGAGACGAATCTCTTGAATGAAGGCGTGAAGGGGACTCCAGGAATCGCTGTTCATATGACACGCACCTCGGCCTTTGCAAATCGGTACACTGCCATGGCGTGAGCATGGCGAGCCTCGCAAGAGCAGCCAACTCGGCCAACTCCCGGGCATCAACTAAAGCAGTGGACAACATGATATCATGATATCTCACACCGCTCCGAAAGGCTTAAGAGTCAGCGCCGAAGCCGAACCCCAAGGAACTTGCCGTCCTCTCACTGATGCTCTGCACAGTTATTTGTCTGGATGGCGCGGCATGCGCTCGCCCGACTTTGGGCGAGAGCGGCAGATCACCACATCAGAGCGCAATTCAGTGGGAACTCAATTTGGAGGCATAGAGGCATATGGGGATTATGTTCGGGAATTTCTAGGGCATTCTAGGGTGTTAAAGGTACGGGTGGGATGCTCACAACGTGTACGATCCTGGGTGACACAGCGGGCCAGCGAGCTAGACTCGCCGAGGCGCCCCGTGAAGTGTGAGAAGCCAGATTTTGTTTTCGCACTGTACAAACTGTGCACGGCTTTGGCGGCTTTTGCGCGTGGGCCGACCAGCTACTAGCTTCAGATGCGCATACACACAACACAAATGCACAAACCAAACGCTTTGAGTACACTGTGAGTACACTGAGTCGCCGAGTCCAAGTCCGCGTCGGCTCTGCGAGTCCTCCTCCAGCATATCTCAGCTGCCTTAGATGAGGCCGTTAGGAGTGAAAGCGAGAGAGTGCGAGCCCTTCCCCTCTCTTCAAGAATCAGGATGAATCAGAGACGGATAGGGAGGACGAGAGAGTGAGAGAGACAGAGCGCACTTCTTAGGAGGGGGGATGGGGTTCATGGGGCGTTTTCACTCGGCATTTTTACGAGGAGGGGGTTCTCTCTTCGTTTTCTGAGTTGCACCACCAAGATGCCGATGTCAAGAATGATGGCCACGCCCGCGAGGGTCCACTTGGCGGCCGGCTGCTTCGTGCGGAGCTGGGCCACGAAGACGAAGTGCGGCCTGAGAGAAGAGTGAAGAGGAGAGAAGAGGAGAGAAGAGGAGAAGATGGGAGAAGTAAGATTGAAGAGAATTGACACATTGCCATGCTGCATATCAGCTCCCTCCCTTACATGCCTCCGCGTGGGCACGCAATAGGTGGGGCACATGTAGAGGTTTTTGTCCTCCTTTTCTTGTTGCAAGCCAGCCTCGCGACAACAACACATTGCGTGCTGTTGCATTGCGCTGCTGCATTGCGACATTGCGTTGCGACGTTGCACTGTGCTGCTGCAGATCACTGCAACAACAGCACCATAAACGACTGCTTTCATTAACTGGTCGCTTGACTTGACTGTGGTGAGTTCTTCAGACAATGTGACAAGGGCCAGGCCGACCATGACGAGGACAGGCTCCAGACGCCAACCGCCGTGTCGAAAATGCGATGGATACAGTTCTGACTGGGCTATGCTGATGATCAGCACCAGATGCAGTGTTTATAACCACTACAGTCAAGTGCATACATACATACATGCATACATACATACATCTTATGTAGGCGACCGCCTACAACGGTTCTCCAGGAATATAAAACGAGTATGATCACAACGAACTACAGTGTACAACATCAGGCTCTAACCAACTAACGATAAGCTTCCACAACCTCACCATATCGATTCCCGATATAGGCCCGCGGCGTTTCTCCAGTTCCAAGAGGTTTTCACAATCTCATCTAAAGAATATGCACACCCGGGGCTCCAAGATATGAGTCAACACATGAAGCTGTAAACTTAGAAAGCAGCGGTTTTCAGACTTTCGTTCGACGAAGTACAACAAGGGCTAGACTCTCTACTTATTGATTTGAACATCGAATGGCTTCTAAACGAATAACATTGACTGAGTAGGAGAGTACTCACAGATTCGGGGACGTTTCCATGTCTGAAGCCCGAGCGCATCCGGCATGGCTTGGGCCGTGCAGTGCTGCCTTGCAGTTGATGACCGGCAGCCGGGTGAACATATCTTTTGGGCGCGAATCCTCCATGACCGAGGAATCCCAACAGTAACAAACACCTTCGCTGCCGAATGTGACCGAATGGCAGGAGGAATGCATTCTCAACACGTGTCCTCCAAGCAGTTAGCATTCGCATCCCACCGAGCACCCTCGAGGTACCTGCCAGTGACAAGGAATCAATCCCTGTAAGAAGAGCGTAAAACTTAGGATCACAAATCAGTTCACGCACCTACGCAGACACGCAGACACGAGGACACGCAGACACGCCAGACACGCAGACACGAACACACACACACACACACACACACACACACACACACACACACACACACTGGCAGACACACAGACAGACAGACACACACACACACACACGGACACATGCACTGGCGCACACACACACACACATGCACACACACGCACACACATGCGCACACACAAACACGCAAACACACATGCACACACATGCACACACACATGCACACGCACGCACGCGCGCACGGCATTGTGGACCTACAACTGACACCTGGGGCACATTCCCGTGACAAAGGCTCCCTCACGGGCCAAGCTGTCGACCATCTTTGGGTCCAGGCGCTTTGTGACCTCTCCGGCCACTTGGGTGCATATGGTGCATGGAGTTGCATCAAAACGGAATCTCGGGGGGCAACACCCAGCAAGAAACATGTGACACAGTGACATACTGCTGAGAAATGAGAAGCATACTGCGTCATGCGTCAGTGCGCCCTTGCAGTCTGCTAGGTCCTAGCTTTTCATGCCAACAGTCCGAAATGCACATATACGATTCTACTGTTCCGCTGCATGTCCGTTCTAAGCCGCTAAGTCTCCGCGAGGCCTCGTCTCAGACTATCCAAAACATGTCAACCGCAGCAGCATTTGACACAAGAAGACAGCGACACTCGCACAACAAGCCTAACTCATGACATTGGAACTTGCCCTCGCATAGCGGGCCAAATTGCATTGCAATCTGACAATACATTCAATACATCTGCAGTGTGTACCTGCGCCCCTTTCTCACTTGCCCCTTTCTCGGTGCCTCCGTAAAGACATGCAGACGGTCGAGTTCCAGATTGATGCTTTGGCAACCTGGCAAGCTGAGGAAAAGAGAGCTTCATCATCAAATCGCAGCAACGTTTCAGCCGAACACTTCTGCTGAGCCATATGGGGACCGCGCAGACTTGCTTGATCGCGGTCAGGAAGCTCTGTGGGTTAAACAACTTGGACACGTCCACCACCTGAAAGCTTCAGCGAAAGCAAGGATCTCGCCGTGGGAGCGCCACAGAACAGGCGCCACCATGTTGAACAGCCATCCGCCAGTTCCCAACTCTAACCCCGAAGCAACAAAATACCGAGCAACACATCCGCAAAACACATCCGCCAGCCGCTCGCGCCTTTGGGATGTGGATGGGCTCCGCTGACCAATCGTCCAGCTGTGCGCAGCGGTCCTTGAGGTTGGCGAGCCAGGACCTGACTGTATGAATCGGACATAATCGGACCCTCCAGCCCATGCCAGTGGACACAGACAGATGCAGTCACATGAGGCTTCTTGGAGATTTCTTTGAGTGATGGTGCGATGATGATAATGATGGGTGATGATGATGATGATGATGGGTGATGGGTGATGGGTGATGGGTGATGGTGATGGTGATGGTGATGGTGAGGCGGCCCCCGGTCTTTGGTGCCTGGAGAGCACCGCCTCCAGTGTGCCAACTCCGAGTCTGAGTGATTGCGGGGGTCTCCCCTTTCAATCCTGGGAAACACTCCGCCCACAACTCGCTGACAATTCTTGAGGCCCCTCCCCCCTTCCCCTGCCTAATGAGAGTTCCTGCACTAGCGTCCTCTGTGGAGCACAATTCTTCCTGAAGCAGAGCTCACGACTTGGGACCCCGAATTGACTCCGGTATTTGTTGAAGTCTTGCAAAGTGCAAAACGAGGAGACAGTCAGAAACCTAAAAGCAGGCAAATGGATGCCGACCGTTGATGCAACATGATGCACACCCCAAGCAAACTTCAAAGATCCCCGGCATCCTGGATGTTGAGTAAGAATTGTACCAGGGGCCGGGGCGGCGAGCAGGACATCTCTCGCGCATGACTGCGTAGTACTGCGTACCATGTCATTTTGCCTTCACCGCCCGACATGCATTGCGACATGCATGAGAGAGCCTGCAACACTCCTGGCGAATTCGCCGGCCTCCCGAAATATAAGGTGAGTGGTGTGGTGTCAACTAGCGTCAAGTGTCAAGAGCGAGACGCAGCATGGGCTGCGGCACACGTCCTCAGCCCTTGCAAGTGGAGGCAGCAACCCGAGCACCTGTCCGACGGCCTGCGGGCCAAGTGACGGAACGAGGCAAATTGACAAGGGGTGGCGAGCAGGTCAACATGCCGCATCACCGGTCGCGTTGCAGCTGTCCAGGACTGACAACGGTCGTAGAGTGGAAAGCTGAGAACCAACGAAAGGCAGCATCGGTGGCAACTGCCGCAAGCCCAATCCGACAGTGGCAGCGCCAATATGCGCCAATCCCCAATAAGCGCTTCTAGCCTGGCGGACACCGGCGTCGAACAGCGTCGAACAGGGCCAGGGCATGTTTGGATACGCGATTGAAAGTCATGCCTTCCTTTAATGATATGGTCGTTGCGTTCTTTGGCGCCCTTGTTGCTACTTCTCCCCATGCGTCTTCCCTGCGCCCTTTCACTCCTTTCACTCGCCGTAATCTGCATGCGTGAAGAATCTATTGATCGATTTTCCCCATCTCTTTAAGCAGTTCTGAGAGGCAGGCCGAAGGGGCCGCGTTGAAGGGAAACCCAGCTTCACCCACCAGATCGGAAGCACTTGCTCGGACAAGGCCTTCAAAGACTCACTAAATGACACGACAAGGTTGGATCATTCGAAGCTACGAGCCACCGACTTTAGAAGAGCCTCAGAGCTAACTGCTCTCTTCAGGGCTCTCGACGCTCTCGACGCTCTCGCGCCTCCGCCAGCTGCTCCATGTGCTCGCTCATGGTCAGCTCTCCTTTGAAGCCTTGCTGCAGCTCGTTCAGCCCCCGCACCTCAAAAAAACCCCAAAAGAAAGGGAAAACGACGTACTGGACCCATTGGACCCGTTGTGCCACAAAAGCGCCGTCTGTGATGTTTCCACTCCGTGCAGAGGATGGCTACATGTAACTTGAGGCTCGCGCCATCTCCTGCACCAGGCAGTTCATGCAATCGCATTCCTCACATCATTCCAGGACCAAGCAAGCACAAAACCCGCAAAGCCTAAGTGGTTTAGGTTTATGGACGGTGGGCAGCAATGCCTGCATCATCACGAACTGGTACGGCCCCCGCTCCTCGCAGGACTCGCAGGCACCACATGAAACAACAACATAGAGCGTACGCTGTGTAAGGTACACAGATAGACCAAAGTTGCAAGAATCCAAACCACTGGAGAAGCCAAGGCACTCGCTGAGAAACCAAGTTGCAACAACCAAGAGAAATTTCAATTGGGGTGCTTTGCATTCACATCAGAATGCATCATAGCTGCTTATACGACCGACGACCGATGATCCCACGAACACTTCTGGCGCCCAACTTGCCTCCTCGGAAGAGCTGCTCAATTCTTTATTGGTCAATTGCAACCGCTGTTGCCGGTTGTTCCCTGTTGCTAAGTGACCTCAGATACAAAAACCCCAATTTTTAGACTGAAGCCGACTGAAGCGCGGCTGAAACAAACCCTTGGAGTGCCGGAGCTCACCCACAGGTTCCCACCAAGTACCAGGAACGGCACGAAACGGAGCAGACTGACGACGGGGTCCAAGGTCGGACAAGTCACAGGTCGAGGCAAGGACCTCGTTGACAAAAGGAAGCACACCCGCTCCCCCCGCCCCCGTCCTCGTCCCATGCAGCAAACATGCTGAATGACCCCAGGTGCAACCCCGCATTAATACAGTGCCACACAGTGCAACATTTGTCGCACACACGTGTCAAGTATCTTTACGATCTTTGCACCAGAATGTTCCAGGAATATTCCAGATTCCAGAATCTCCATGACATCTCCCTTCGGAGAAGGAATACTTCATTTGTCCAAAGCAACCACGTTCACCATGGATCCAAGTTGCTTGTAAACCAGGGCATGCGATGAAACTATATTTTCAGTGAGTGCACATCGACCTGGGTCCGCGGGATCTTCGCTTCCTCGAACAATATTATGCTGGTACCAGGCCGTACCAGGTACAGCTTGCATTGTTCAAGTCTGTCACACAAGATTAAGCGGGCACTGTACAGGAAGGTGGCCAATCTTCCCATCCCAACAAAGGGGGAAAGTAGATTTGTTCGCTGTCCCGCATTCTTCGGAGTGTCCCCTGCTGAACCCTCCTCAACCTAAACGCTACTCTGGGCCCGGAGCTTTAGGGTTCCTTCTAGCAGGAAGCTGAGCCTGGACGCGCGAGCAAGGCGGGGTCACCTGAGAACTTGCGCGAAAAGCCATCTGGTGCGGTGCCATCACGGATCTTTCGCCATATCTTCATGCTGTGAATTTGCGCGCGGCGCCTAGGCGGTAGCGCGATTTCACACATCCCCGGAGGCAAAGATTCGCGTTGAACCTAGACGTCCAAAAGCGACGACGGTGTGACAGTTACAAGGATGGCGACTTCGAGAAGCGCAGCGCCTTGGCCCCGAGAGCGAGATTTCCAACATCGCGCATTCCAAACATCTCACCCGGAGTTGCGCAAACGGGCCTTCGTGAGCGCGCGATTCGACACCATCCACGAAGCCAAAAGCGTGTCATTTAAACCTGTCCCTATGGAACGTCGGGATCCGCAGAGAGGGAGAGACACACGCGCACACACACACACAGACATATCACACACACAGACCACTGCTGACGCAAGCACAGCGACGCGTACAGACAGACAAACAGAAACAGAGTGTAGAGAGGAAGCGACCAAAATAGTGTGTGCATTTTCCGCACGTGCAGCACGTTTTCCATTGCAATGTTAAATATCTACATTGACTGCATCTACATTGTATCTGTACGGCCAAACCAATGCAACTAAAGAGTCGGAGCAGCAATTGATCTACATGCTGACCTGCTCCTAAAACCCGATGTCTTCATGACATCCTTCATGCTCCATGTGAGATCCAAGCATTCAAGCTCAGGGAAAAACCTCGTTTGGGAAAAAACCCTGAGCTCCACCGACCTGCAAACTTTACAGACCAGCGAGCCTGTGCGCACACCCCACTGCCAAGAGACAAGCGGAAACCCAACACACCACACCACACCCAAGCCAAAACAAACCAAAAACCCAACGCACCAACCCAAGAAAAAAACCCCAGCAAAGGAAAACCAACAGAAGACCCAGCACGAACCCCTGGCAGAGAGGAGGGCGAACAACTGGAGCAGTTGCGGGCGGCTGGAAAAGTTGCGGCCCTGGAAGGCTCTGCAACAAACGTTGGAAGAGTCCCCTTACACGAATTTACACGCAGGCCCCTCAAGGCGCAGCGAAAGGGCTTGGTGCTGCAGCAGGCTTGGGGAGGCGCCTGAGCACGGCCCGCGCATTCTCACGCTGCAAGGTGACGCTCAGTGTCTGGAGGAGCTGATCAACCACCAGACCCGTGGCCTCTCCTGTTTGGGCAGCTATGAGTGAGCCAAGCGCCTTCCACGTGCGCATGGCCTCGGGGGCCCACCCCCCTGCACAAGCCTCCGCAACGAGCGGCACGAACTGAAGGCCTGCCGCCGTGCACTGCATGGCAGTTTGTTGGTGCGAGCGTTTCCGGGCTTCATAGTCAGTTGCTGCTCGGGACCCATCCCGCGCCGACACGCTCACCATGCCGCTTCGAAGTCCACTGGTCACAGCCAAATCGAAAGCGCCCCAACTGGGCACCCAAACGTCGGCTGGTCGACGACTTTGGGTTGCGGCCGCCGCACCAGCCTCGCAGGCGCCGGTTTCAGTAGGGCGGGCAGGCAGCAACTCCTGCTTTTCGACTTCGGGCGAAAGCCCAGCAGACGCCGCACGGGCCGCTAGCACCGAGCGGAGACGGTTGTGCCTTTTAGTCCTGTCCCCTCCGCACGCGCACGCTCGGGCATGATCGCCATACACATCCGCGACCCCATCGCAAAGTGGGCAGTAGCCCTCAGTGGAGGCAATGGGGACGCGGAGGCGCAAGCGGAGCAGGGTGCGGAAGATTTGACTGTCCAAGGCGAGTCCTAGAACCTCAGCCGGGCGCGCCAGCAACCACGACCCGGCACCAGGCTGTTGAAGCAGGCGCAAGTGGGCGCGGTCCGCCTCACAGTCCGCCTCGGCCACTAACGCAGTGAGCGTAGCAGCATCCAGAGCAGCGGACAGCTGTTGTTGCTTGACTGGTGCAGGGGTGGCAGGCAGAGCCTCAGAAGGAGCAACTGAGGAGTTGAACTGGCTGACTGACTGCGACAGCTCTTCTTGGTAGTTGGCATCCAAAGCGCGGCACAGGGAGACGCTGCAGGTCACGGAAGCAATGAAGGCAGCAGGGGCGTGCAACTTGGCACTGCGCAAGCCGAGGCCGCCAGCGCCAACCTTCAGTGTGGCCTGGCGCCAAACACGCTGCGAGAGGGGCATCCCGCCCACCTGCCCGAGACATTCCCGCAGCTTGTCATCAAAGTCACCCAGAGCCTGTTCATGCAAGCTGGGGGGTGTCACGCGCATGGTGTAGGCCAGTTTGCTGTAAGAGCAGCAGTGCCGCAACAACAGCAAAGCGGTCTGCGCATCGGGCAAGCTGGCCACGGCATCCATGACCTTTGCCGCCTTAGTGACCCGTTCAACGGACGTGTGGCGGCAGCAGAAGCCCGGACCCCCTATGGCAGCCCCGAGAAGAGTGAACTCTCCATGCCGTCTGATGAAGCCAGCAGGGATGCCACGCAAGTTTGCGCTGGAGTCAGGGCTGGTGACAACGACTTCCGACTTGGTGGGTTCCAGTGTCAACCCTGCGGCAGCCGCCGCAGTAGTAAGGGCGTGAAGGGCCCGCGTCACTTGCCCACTAGTGCCTGCCAACACAATGTCATCCAAGTAGGCAAAGCACAGGTCCAGCGAGCCAGCTGAGGCCGCGGCCAACAGAGCAGGGTGCAAGGCCAGGGCGAAAAACACAGGCCCCAAATGGGTCCCCTTGCTGAACCCCGGCAGCAGATTCCACAACATGGTCGCCAAAGCGCAGGCGGGAGCTACGGCCATAGCACCAGTCCGCACAGCACGCAGCTTCCGGCAAGTGGGAACGGACTGCACTGAGGACCGCGGCACGGTCAACCGAGTTGAACGCATTGCGCAAGTCCAGTTTGACCAACACCTTGTCAACGTGACCCGCGTTGCGGTGGAGCCACTGCCTGGAAGCATGCACCGCCGCCTCCGTGCCTGCCTTGACCCCTACCCCCAGCTGGAGTGGCTGTAGGTAGTCTCTCGCCTCCTCGCGGAGGGACATACACAACACCTTTCCCACAAGCCTACGCACAACCTCTCCAACGGCAATGGGGCGGACCCCACCCTGCGGTTTGGGCAAGGCATGCAAGGAACCTCCAGCCAGGTGTGGAGAGAGAGAACCAGGAGCCTCGCCGCGCGCGAGCAAGTGGCACAAGGAAGCAAGGTGAGCGGCCACCTCGTCTGCGTGCGCAGTGAGGAGGGCCTCGCGGAGGTGGTCGGGTCTCAGGCCAGAGGGCCCTGGCGCAGAGCCTTGACGGAAGCTGCGAATGGCCCGAGCCGTATTTTCAGCAGAAAACTCGGGCACAGCAGCTGCACGGGGCGCACCAAGGGCCTCCAAGTCCGGAGGGGCAGATTGCGGATGTTTGCTGAGGAGCTCGGCAAGTGTATCCTCGGAGGCCGGCAGAGGTGGTGGGTCTATGAGCGCTGTGCAAGCCCTGCTCAAGTCCCCTTCAGCAGCAAAGCGCTTGCAGCGCGCGTGGCGCGCCTGCTCACTAGGGAGGATAGCAGCAGTTCGCTGCGGGCCGGCCCGTAGCTCTTCCCACAGTGCCATCCGTTCCCCATCAAGCCACCGCTGGCAACGCCGTTTAGTGGCAGAGGCAGCCTGAGCGCGATGACGCGCGCCGCCCCTGTGAGGAGCCACAAGAACTGCTTGCGGCAGCATCATGAACTCCTGCCAGGCTGCCACGGTGTTGCGGGACACTGCAGAAGCGGCGGCCCGGGCCAAGCATTGAGCCCAAGCCGCACGGGCAACACGAGGAACATGCCTGACAGTGCTGCAACCGGAAGCAAGGATGTCAGCAAAACTTGGTAGCGCGGCCTCGGGCCCGCCCACCCGTGGCGGAGGCCTATCTGCACACGCGGCCCGGGCCGCTGGGCGACAGCGTGGGTGGCTGCCATTGTGAAAACGACGCACCAGCAGGCCACAAACGCTGCAGGGTTCCAAGTCATGCTCGCCCAGGTACTCAGGTGGCACCGAACCAGAAAGGATACCTGCACAGTGGTCGTCCAAATGATTGCGCATGGCGGAATGAGACGACCAGCCGCTGCAACGAGTGGGGTCATGCATGCAACAGGAATCCACCGGGCAAAAGACCCGAACCGCCTCATCATGGGCAGCGACCCGCCGCCGTTGCGCAGGCTGCTCGGCCGAGCCAGGTTGCCCAGGAGCAGGACCGGGGAGGCTAGCCTCCCCAACTCGGACACCTCGCAATGCGTAGCCGCGTTTGAGGCGTTGTCCCCAAGTTCGACGCTGGGCCTCAAATAACACACGGCAACGGCGATGGAAGCGAACTTGGGGCCTATGATGCAATCCAGCCAAGGGGTCCCAGGTCACATCCAGAGCTGGTGTCCGCAGCTCCCGCTGCTGTTCCAGGCGGAGAGCGCGCCGACGTCGATGGTTGAGGGCCTGCGGTAATTCATTGGCCCATTTACCTCCCGTGTCCGAGAGCCCCTGGGGCCGGCGGTGCGGGATCCCCCGCCAATCGCCACCATACACCAGAGCCAAGCATAGGATCCGCCACACCCGGGCAGGGCAGGGGCACGGAGCCATGGCTCGACATCTAAGGGAAGGACAAGATGGGCAAAGGTCCAAGCATTGGGGTCTTCAGTCAATCATGTAAACACTTCGGCTCAAGTCAATGTGATGAGAGTCATGCAAGATAACTGAACCCAGTGCCACATGTCTGTCCTCCTCACTGAGTTGAGAAGAGATCTCCTCCAAAAGAATGCAAAACCAAACAGCTTCATCAGCAACTCTCAACATGTTCGCGTGATGCTGTGTGCCTCATGCCTTGCTCCAACCCTAACTTCCTTGACGCTGAACCCTTCGCTGGAAGACGTATAATCCTTATAGTGGTATGATGTACAGAGCTTTTCGTGCTAGCTGCTACCTTGTACATCAATTGTTCAGGCACGAGGGCATCGCCTCGACGTTGTACTTCACCTCACGCACCTTGCCAAGTTGGTTTTCCATGGGTGCCCCGGCAGCGCTGCAGCCCGGGCCTCATCCAAGATCTCGTTGCACATGTCCTCTGCCTTAGTCCAGTGGATTCTCTCCGGCATCTGTCCGCTGCTCGATGTGGGGCATCTTGCGATCGTGTCTTTGCATCGGTGATTCGTGAAATTCGTGGACTGCCTTGATTGTGTTTCAGACCATGCAGAGTAGTTGATTGAGGCCTGGGGCCGCTTGCGGATCATAAAAAAAGCACCTACTTCTTTGCCTGGACACCAAATTCGACGTTTTCCTGCCCCTCCCCACTACTCGCACCCCCCCCCCCTCCCCCACCTTCGGCTACTCCCAGGAGCTAGCCTTGCCGCCCCTTGCCTTTTTGTCGCCGCAACGCATCGCATAGACCTCACCACCCCCTGCCCTCTTTCCTCACCCGCAACCTCACCAACCCCACCTAATCCCTGCAATCCTGCCTCTCTTTTATGAGCGCAGCACGCACTGGATGATATCAATGTTCCCGTCTTTGCTGATGGTATTCACATTAAATATCTTGTGTGCAAACCTGTTGCCTGTGTGCGTGTGTCACATTGGGTACACCTCTATGTTGCTGGATCGCTCCTCTGCGTGCATTTGGCAACGTGACAAAATGCAGAATCAGAAAGCCTGTGTGCATTGATCATTTCACTAAGCAACACCGTGCTGAGATTTATCTGCAGCTTTATGTTCCCGCACGAACTTGGGGTAGGTGCGGACCCGGTTGCAAATTCAGTCGGTCGTGGCCATTCGTTTTGGCTCTTCGTGGCCGTGGCAACTCTTAGCGTGCAAAATTTCGGAGGATTTGCACATCATCGTCTTGAAACACCGGGCCACAGAGGCCTGTCAGCGAAACCCTGTGATAGGCTGTCCTGCTGCGTGCAGAGTCAGAAGCCTCCCTTATTTCCCTTCCCTCCTTGCCCCCACCTCCGGCTACTCCCCCGTACCCTCCAAAGATACAGGATTAGGGCTCAGAGCACTCAGGGTTTAAGGCATATAGGGCTAAAGAGCGAAGTCTACACCTTCAGGATCAGCAGGAGAAAGCGACACCCAGGATCACAAGTACCTGGGGCCTACTCCCCCGCTGAGAGCAGTCTCAGCGGGGGCGGGGCGGCGTAGGTGTGCGCGACCTGCTTCGTCATTGTTACTCTTAATCCATCGTGCATTGGCTTCAGTCGTTTGCATCATGTCGTGCCTTGGCTTCTAGAACAGTACTCCGCTAGCGACGAAGCCGCTAGATGCCACTAGGATCAGCCCCAAAATCCTCAACGAGCCTATTGAAGACCGCCCATCTGGGAGCTCCGGAGTGTTGATCCATCTGATATCATTGACGATGATATACTCTGCGGAGTTTTAACAGAGCCAATTGTGCGCACGTTCTTGGTGTGCGCAGGCACCGCTGCCACAAGGGTTCAACTTTGTGGGTGTCTGGCAAAATCTACAGCAGGGGCTGCAGGGAGCTTCAGCAAGCTCTGATCGGGACAGGAGAGCGTTGAAAATTCGTCTCATGGGTGCCAAAAAAATGGTCAGAATTAACGGTCAGAAGCGAGAAAGCGTTAAGAACTCCTTTGAGGGGACGCACTCATCAGGGCAATCGACCGACACAAATGTTACCACGCAGAGCCCGGAAGCCGCTGACGAGTGGAACTCTCAACAGGCTTAAGAAAAGGGGGAGCTGAGATGAGTTGGGATGAGATGAGTTCGGTTTCACTGAATTCCACTGAGTTCCACCTTCTCTGGATGTCTGGGACCTGGGCGGCGGCCATCGGCGACTGCTCCTCCGCCGCCTACAAAATGCATTGGCTGCACCGAGAGCGAGCTCCACAGTCGGGCTGCTCAATCTCCTAAGGAGCTGCTTATTAGGCCCATTAGGCTTTGTTGTGTCCCTCTTCCCCCTGAAAGGCGCCCCTATCATTCTCTCACAGTCTGAAAGGTGTGAATCTGCGAATCTGCGAAGCATCGCATTCTGGCCTGTCCAGGACTACGCTTCGGCTGGATCATCTGCAAGAGCCCAAAGATGTTTTCACACCTCGAGAGAGCGCTGGCATTTCAGTGTCAGAACTATTTTGACCTCGTTCTGAATGCTCTCGTGTCAACCGCGCAGCTGCGCTAGAGCTCTTCTCTCGACCTCTCTCCTTTGCATTCTCCCTCCACTTTGCTGCACTTTGCTCTTTGCCGTCTCGGGGGCATCTTGGTCCGAAAGTCGATCTCCGCGTTCGGGTGCATGCCGAAGAAAAGGGGCGACTCCGCCGGCATCGTCTCCTTTGGAAAAATTGGAAAAACAGACTGGGCACAGACAGCATGCGGGCACCGCTTCGTGCCACACTGTTCGTGCCACGCTGTTCGTGCCGCGATGTTCGTGCCGCACTTTGCTCCGAGCACTTGGCTATTCTGGCCATTCTGGCCATTTCATGAACAAAATTGGGGCCCAATTATTGGGGAAATGGAAACGACGACAATCTTGCAATCGCAACACGGATAACGGCAGACATATATGCACACACACCCAAAAAAAACACCTCCGCGGCAGCATAAATATGAGAGCCTGCAACCATGGCATATGCATTTTGCGTGAAGCATGCTTTTTTCACGGAGTGTAGTCTATTGTCAATTTAAAGGGGTAGAGTGGGCACAGTCTCTTTTGTCATGTGGCAAATCAACGGGAGGCGAGTCTCGTGTCGAAAACGCGGGGGGAGGGGTACTGGAGGGGAGAAGGGAGGGGAGGGCATGGAGTGTAGTTTTGCTTTTCAGAAACGCCAACTGTACCCCGTACCCCCACTGCACTGAAGCCTGACCTGTTCATCCGTTCTGCAGCTTCGGCACGCACATCGTAGTACTGGAATAGGCTTGAATAGACACGAGCCAATGCATGAAAGGGTCAATGTGCTCCACATACTTCTCGTGTGTTCCGGGGCCAGGGGACTTCCAACTCAGCTGACCATCCGCCTGGATCAACGGCGTGATCAACTGCGTGAAAGTTCCGAAGCGTGAAGCCAAGGAGAGCTCCAGAGAGCTCCAGAGAGCTCTGGAGGCTGAGTGTCGCGCATAAGGGACAAGCTCCATCTCGTCCAAAATCTCGTCCTCTCGTGCGGCTTGACTTAGCGTGCTCACACGAACTCAAAATCCAAGGGGGCCTCATGAATATTCATGCTAGAAAAAAGTACATGAGCTGCCTTTTGGTACAGAGAGCTGCCCGTCCTGCATGAAGTAAGTCAAATATTTCTGGCACATCCGACGATCCCAGTCGTCCACAATGTGACCTTCGGATGCTACACTTTCAAGTCCCAAACGTCTCGAACGACACAGACAGGGTCTCAGCAGAGTCCGTTGCTCGCTCCGCTCTCGCGCCTCCGTACATGATCTCGCCGAAGATGTACCGCAGGTCTTCCCAAGGGATCTTCACAGCCGTGGAGCCCTCAAGGTCTCTCAAGGTTTCTCGTGCGGTGGGCAGTTTTTGGGTCTTTTTTGGGGATCTCCCATGTCGTCCTCGAGGTAGTTGTAAAGGACGGAGGCAGAGTCCCGGAGGTCGCCGTTGGAAAAGGGGTACTTCCTGTTGAGGAAGGGAAGGTACAATCAAAAGAACTGTAGGCCCGTTTTGTGCGCGTGCGCGCGTGCGCGCGTGTGCGTGTTGTTGGTTGGTTGGTTGGTTGGTTGGTTGGCTGGCTGGTTGGCTGGTTGGCTGGTTGGCTGGTTGGCTGGTTGGCTGGTTGGCTGGTTGGCTGGTTGGCTGGTTGGCTGGTTGGCTGGTTGGCTGGTTGGCTGGTTGGCTGGTTGGCTGGTTGGTTGGTTGGTTGGTTTGTGTGTGTGTGTGTTTGAGTAAAGTATGTACGTCATTTTGTGTGTGTGTGTGTGTGTCATGGTGTTTCGCTTCCTGTTGATCCTCCACACCGGCAGGCTTATTGCGAGAGGAATTGCGAGGGTGCTTTGTGCTATCTGGGGAAGAAGGGGAAAGGAAGAGGCTTAAGTTTCAAAAGCTTAAAGCTTTCCCCTCCCACATTGAGAATTTGGGGAGGGTAGGGGGTTAACGCGGAGACCGTCTGCTTCTTTCGTGGGGGCTATCAGACGTCAGCTACGCTGCGATCTGTAGATGCTTGAATGCGTCCACGAAAACCACTTAGGAAATCCTGTCGAAGGTCCCGCCGAGAAACACATCTGAAATGACAAATCGTTGCAAAACTGTATCCCAGGGCCGGGCAATCTGTTCGAGCTGTCCGATAGATCATGACTCTGTTGTGAACATTTCTAGCCGGAAAAAAGCAGAGCCATCCATCTGTTCCTGTCGGACATATGCAGTCCAGAAGACTATCGGGCATTCATGCGAGCAAGATACAGTAGCTGCTTTTGAAGAGCTGGAAAAGTAGCCTGGTGGCATACAGTGCTTTAAGCAGAACGTGGCCCCAGCAGTCGTCCAAGGTGATCATAGGATCCCACACGCAAAGCCGTTCATGATCGTTCATGGATTGCTTGCGAATATGCATGAACGAAATGACGAACGTAGTCAGCTGTATGGCCACTTGGACAACGGGAATCCTTCCGCTACGCATTCCGAACAAGTTACCGGTTGGAGCTGCGTCAGGCGGTCGACGAAGAAATCGGAAACAGAACGGCTGAATCGGAAACCAGAAAGGCGAAATCAGAAACCAGTTGACTGGGAAAAAGTGGAAGCCAGGGGCTCGGAACCCAGAATGGCGGAATCGGAAGCAAGGACGGCTGACTCGGAAACCATGAGGGGGAATCCGAAACCGGGAAACGGATGATTCGGAAACTGGGAAAAGGGATCAGGATGTGGAATCTGGGAAGGGTGGCTGAATCCTTGCATGTCGGTGCCCTCCGCAGTTGGCTTCTGATGTTCAGTTTCTGATTCCTACTTGTTGAACGATTTTTTGACTGATCCGTCACATTGCGAGGGGATTCTGGGGGGCTCCTCTCTGAAGGCCCATCATCTGAGCATCGCAAGCGTAATTCAAGTGGCCCACCCTTCAGATTCATTGCGGGGTACCAAAAAGGGGGGTCCCAAATTCCCAAATTTTACGAGAGCTGAGCTGACACTCAGCGCAACGCCGGGCATGTGTAGAGTTGCTGAACGAGGCAATGATGAATGATGAAGGAGGTTCTCAGTGCTCCCCACAGGCTGCTGTCACTCTGAAAAAACATACGACTCATGCAACGCACAGCTAGCTGCAGCTGCCCCGCGTCCCTGAGTCTCAGGCATGTTGTAGCCTAAGGCGCCGAACTTCTTCCGCTCCAGCATGAGGGAATGGAAGTGGCACAAGGCAAAGAGGATAGACCTCACAAAAAAAGCAAGCAGTGCAAAAGGCCTCGTTTGGCTCTCATTTTGTCCCCATGCGTTTGCCGCATCATTGCTCCGATTTCTCCTCTCCAGAAATTTCCGAACTTCCTAATTCTCAGCCTTCTGTCAGACTGCACTCGGTGAGTTCCCAGCTTGATCTTGCTATCCCGCTCGTCGAACTCCTCCCGGTTAAAGAGCGCGAAAGAGCGCCTGACACGCAAGTCGTCGTAGCAAAACGAAAGGGCGGTATGTGAATCTACAAACATGTAATTACTCCGTTTTCGACTCGAACGATGAATCCATCGATGATTCGAATCATTCCCTTAAATAGGCCAATCATAACACATAGAATTCTTGACAAGTGCAAGTTGTTACTGTAATGGGGTTTTCCTGCAGTTCCTGCAATATCTTCACCTCTCCAGGGGTGGAAGCCCTGAAAATACAAACCAGAGAAGCAGCATGACCCTTCTCGCCTCAGGTTGGCCTGCAGGCCTTGGGGGGGCTCGTTGGTGAGCTTGATGGACCGCTCCAACAAGCCGATGGGAATCCCCGGCGACGGGTCCGCTGATAGAAAAAGCCGGAAGTAAGGGCTGCTGTTCCTGAGATCTCCCAAGTCACACCAGGACAGGACAGGGAGAAAGGAAGGGAAGGGGAGGAAGGGAAGGGAAGGGAGGTGAGAGCAGGGGAAGGGGAAGGGGAAGGGGAAGGGGAAGGGGAAGGGGAAGGGGAAGGGGAAGGGGAAGGGGAAGAGAAGAGAAGCGAGGGAAGGGAGGGAGGGGAAGGGGGCAGGGATGGGGAGGGCAAGGAAAGGGAATGGCGAAGGAAAGGAAGGGGGAGCGAGTCACGAGAAGCGCTGGGGAGCGCACTCCACCGCGAAAGCATCAAGTCTTTTCTCCAGCGTTGCCTGGGAGATGCTTAGAATCCGTATAGCTCCTGTAAGGGTGCTGGCATGGACTGGGGCTGCAGACACACCAGGTGGGCATAAGATGGATATTCTGGAGCATGACCTCGCACAGCTCTGTCATGCTGTAAGAATCGAAAGCCCTTTAACGACGCTCTTGGAACTCTGACAAGCTCTGAAGGCACTCTCTCTTGGCATCGGCAAACGCCTCCCTGAGGAACGCACCCAATGGCCCTCTTTGGATGCCAGCTCTAACTTCTGCATGGCAATTTCATCCTGTCACCCAGCTTGCGTTGTCTTGCGTGGTCTTGCGTCGTCTCCCTAGATGACATCACCTCTCACATCCCACCTGACCCTGGCCCATGGCGACGTTGTGGTAATTCACGTTGGCTTGTAGCCCGATCAACACCTTGCCCAGCGCTTCCACCTCCCAGCGTTGCATGGTGTTGCAAGTCCAGAAGTCGTTCTCTTCCTCGCCTCCTTGACGGGATCCGCGCCCGGCGAGAGGATGAAGAAAAATGGCGTGTTGCTCGTGGAATCCTCACAGCGACACCCTATCTCGCAGCGACTTAAAAAGAAGCTATGAAAAGCGGTAGCAGTAGCAGAGGGGAAGATATCCCCTCATAGAACTCGTAGCTACCCCAATTCGAAGAGAAAAGAGGCCCAGCAGAACGGAGAGAGACACAACTGTGCGTTTGTGTGTTCTCTCTCTCGCTCTCTCTTTGTCTCTGTCTTCCTGCCTTCCAGCGCGCATGGTCAGAAAAGTGGGTCAGTTTGGGAGCAGGACACCGAGTGTGGGTGAGATTGAAGTGCAGGCCGTCCCCCCGATATCGCTTCCCTTGCCCTGTCCTCTTCCTCTGCCTCTTCCTGTGTCCTTCCCTTCTTCTCGTCTTTCTATATCTCTCTCATGGAAGATAGGCAGATAAGCAAAGTGCAACGAGAAGAATGAGATTCGGCAAAAGATCCCCGACAGAAGCTACAGGAGAAAAACACAACCCTTCGTAAGATCGTTGCATAAGAAAGTAAGCCCAAACCAAAAAAAGTAAGTTAAAGATCGGCGAGATGGCGGCCAGGGAAGCCTGCCCCCGAAACGGAGAAACCTCAACCCTAGCCCTTTGTTGTCGGACGTCTGATTTGGGGAGATAAGTCCAATCCAGCGGCACGGGCCCGCGGGTTGAAGGGACAGCGGGCTCACACGTTCCGGCCCGTCACGGGCTCACGGGCCCCTATCACTTCTTATTCAGAAACAAACAGAATCAGCATTCTACTTTCTACAAGAACTGGAATAAACAAAGTGTGGGACAAAACAATGTTGCGCACGCCGGGGGGGGGGGGGGGGGGCGGCAGAGAGCAATCGGATGAAGAAAAGATGCTTTCAGAATAAAGGATGTTCGCGGCAGAACACTAATTGCCCCAAGCAAGTTACATGTTCTTGTCGGAGGGAACGGCTTAGAACAAGACGCTTGTGCCAAGTTGGAACCTGCGATGTAGTCTTTTCTCAGATCTTTCGTCACTTCCACAACTCAGCTTCAAAGTGCACTTCTCAGCTGCCTAGGAACCTGGGTGATGTTTGAGTTTTCGGTTCGCCTGGTTCCATAAATCGGAACATCTCTTTAAAAAATTTAGTGCCGGATCAACAATCCTAGTCTTTGAGTTGCTGGGGGAAAGTCTTAGAAGTGCCGTTGACAAGTTGACCCATGTCATCAGTCTGTATGGGAGAGGTACACTCGAAACCGATCCCCACACAGGCGATCCCCACACGGGAGATCCGGGCCCCTCTCCGTTCTCCGTTACACGGGGGCTTCAGTCGGGACTTTACTCGCCCGAGTCTAGCCAGTCTAGCCCCGGTGGTCCCACCCGCTCCTCGTAGGCCGAGTGAAGAACCTGTCGCTTCCGAATGTGAAGGTTTTGCATTCTCACCATGTCACAAGTGCAGTAAGCCTTGTAAAAAGACAGCGATGCATCGCAGTCGATGTAATCCTTGCCACTCGGAAGACTCTGCCTGCGTGACTCAACATCATGCAACTCCGAATGCGCAGATTGATTTCGGGATGCTGCGCGTGCCTTATCCACCTGGCCAGTGCGATGGACATTCGATCGGGCCGAAGGCAGCGGATTACCAGCCTTGTGCTGGACAAAGGATGCATGTCCAAAAGGTCCCCTAGGGTCCCCTTTCCGCTTTCAATGCGAGCATGCCATCCCATGCCCAAATTTGCAGGCCGTGAACGTGGCACATGGCACGGACTCGCAGTTCGACATGGTGTTGGATTCGGTTTTGCAGTGAGGCTCAAGTGCAGCCAACACACACCTGCTCTTATTCGATCACCAACTCGTTTTTCGTTGCTACATCGTTGGTTGCTCAGCCTCTCCAGATGTTGCCAGCGAACATCAACTTGCCTTGCGTTTGCAACTAATCGCCCGGTCGACAGGCCTGCAGGACACCAGGATCAGGTCTCCATATCCATCTTCCCAACCCTTTTCCTCTCCCTGTCCCCGCTCCCACAGGGCCCGCGCGCCACCTGCCCCTACAGTAAACTGTTTGGGGAACAAGTATGTCTAAAGCCTCTACTTCCGAGATGGGCGTTCTTTCAAGGAGGTGTTCAAACGCACTGTTTCGACGCCGCAAGTGCTTGAACAACGTCTGCCTTAATGCAGTATCTCGCAAGCATGGTTCAACTGGAAAAGTCGCCGCCGTGGTGTTGTGACACAAGTGCCAAGCTAGTAAGTTTTCAAAGGACGGGGGGAGGGCATTCTGGTTGAGCACTGCAGAAAAGCCAGTCGAAGAGCAACCACATGCGCTCACTGTCACGCGCAGGCTGGCGCAGGCTGGGCGCTGCCGACACTGAGCCCTGGACAGCTTCCTCAGTGAGGCACTTGGGATGCATGAAGTGGAAAAGGCGAGGCCACGTGCGGCTAGGTTGCCGAAAGTACTTTGCATCCAGCGTCTTCCAATCCAGAGGAAGCTTTGATTCCTTTTGAGCAAGAATCGTTCTTAGGAAAGCCGAGATTTGCAATTCGCAGAACGTAGCATCTCGTCTTCCCTTTCTAGACAGAAGACAAACAATTTACAACACACTTGGCCTCTGGTGCCGGCTCGGCCATCCAGTCGCGGAAGCCTCAAACTTTGTCAGTCTGCTTCTGGCATGTACCATGTCTGCATGCGAGGTCTGCGCAAGGCTTCTCCGTGCCAGAGACTTGTGAGAGCTGAGAGCTGAGAGCTGAGAGCTGAGAGCTGAGAGCTGAGAGCTGAGAGCTGAGAGCTGAGAGCTGAGAGCTGAGAGCTGAGAGCTGAGAGCTGAGAGCAGCCTGTTTGAAAGTCTGAGGCTCGCTCGATTTGGAGCATCGCGCTCCATGTTCTGCCTCAAATGTGTGCTTCTCCGTGTTCTTTTTTTCGAACTGAGGACTTCTCACTGGGCTTCTCTCTCTCCTCTCCGAGAATTGAAGGGAGAAGAAGGGGAAAAAGGAAGGGGAAAAGGGAAGGGGAAAAGGGAAGGGGAAAAGGGAAGGGGAAAAGGGAAGGGGAAAAGGGAAGGGGAAAAGGGAAGGGGAAGGAGGGAGCTCTAAGCCTACTTAGCTTGGCTGAGCTCCCCGGCGCGAAGTTCTCGAAGCCCTCGAGCTCCACCAGCTTCAGCACCATGGCCTCACCAAGTCACCACAACAAGTCAACTCCACACCGATATACCCCAAAAAGAAGAAGAAAAGGAGAGAGAAAGAGAGAGAGAGAGGGGGGGTGAAAAAAAAAAACACAGCTTCTTCTTCTTCTTCGTGAACGGAGAAAGAACAAAGAAGAGGAATACTCCCTCGACTCCCACTTCTTTTAATATCATCCTTCTTAATACCAAAGCTGGAATCCTCTCTCCCTCGCTCTCTCTCTCTGGCTTGAATGCAATATTTTGAGCGGAGCGGCCCAGCTCTTGTTCAGGAGCCAGTCGCCCAAGGGGTTCTCGTTCAGAACGGGCACCGAGGGCCCCCGCAGCAGGAAATGGAAGTGGCTCGGCACGAACTCCTTCAACCGCGAAGGGGAGAGAGAGAGTGTGGGCGCAAGGCCCTCAACTCTCATCTACCTCTCCATTCAACCTCTTCAATCTCTCTCCCTCCCTGTCGCCTCCTGCAGCTGCCGCAGTGCCAGCAACCGGAAGGCGAGCATGGTGCAGAAGATCAGCCTCCCCCCAAGACTTCCAAGAGCCTTTGACATTCACTTCTACAACACATGTCGTTGGTCGTTGGACGCTCTGGGTCGTGGCAAGCAGCTTGTGATCCTCGAAGAGGCCCCGGTTGACCTGAATAGCTCCGAGCCCGGCAGAAAAATCGCCAGAATGTCAGAGGGGTGTTGATCAACGTGTGCCATTGAGGTTTCTTCGCTTCTTCCTTGCCAACGAACTCCACGTGCGTCTATGCCCGCAGAACTCTGCGGGCCCCATGCACAGCACCAAGCAATGCAACCAATGCATGTCTGTATGTAGTGGTCCACCCGCATGCATACTTTGTTTCACTACTTCCTCGGGGAGCTCTTCCACCTAACGCGCTTCCTGGCAAGAGTTCTCTCACCAATATATGATTGCATGTCCTTTTTTGCGCCCTCAACAGCGAGAAATTGCGAAGCTTGAGATTCAGCAAAAACAGATGAAACTAATCGGCCTCAGCACCACCAGTTTCCGAAGGTGGTGCGCGTTAATTCTTCTGTATAACTGCACTACAGCATTGCTGCTGCAATTGTTACGGAGCATGTAAATATGCGCTCTGACAAAGTCTGAACGTGCGCGTAATGAGCGTGACAACTGTTCGTTCTTGGGGATGTTGAAGCTTGCTTGGTCTTCTGGGGTGGACGTTGAGACTTTGCTAAGGTCTTGGAGCTTTGGGCTTTGGGCTTTGGGCTTTGGGCGGGTGCGTCACAGCCTCCACCCGACAAAGATACCTTCGTGCCTGCATGTCCCTCTTACGCATCCACAGCCTATGCTGGAACGCAGTGACTGAAGGCATGGAGCAAACAGGCAGGCTATTTGCAGAGATCTATTTTGAGACACTGCATGCACGTACAGACATCAGAGACACACATGTTTGAGCTCTGCAAGACTCACATGTCCCGTGCTCCTGGAATCCTGGAACCAACATCGGAAGTAATAACGCCATATGGCGCCCGTGATGGGCGCCGAAACGACAGGGAATGTTCGGCTCCTGAACCTTGCGCGCGTTGCGATTTTCGTCTACGTAGCAGTTGCAGTCCGTGCCATGTGCATTCATGCACACACATGTTCACGTCAGCACAGGCACATGTGTGTCTGCGTAGACACATGTGCGACGGCAGCCGCGCTTCCCGGAAAACATGTCCTGAAAGCCTGACCGCAGGTGCGGCAGGACATCCACCGTGACCTCCTGCAGCCTGGGCTGAGAGAACCTCCAGGACTTCAAACCTCCTCACAGCCTCAGCCTGCTGAGAGAAACTTCCGAACCTCAGCAGCCTCAGCATACCTCCGCATACCTCCGCATACCTCCGCATACCTCCGCAACGCTCGCGCTCAGCATACCGAGCCCTGTGGCAGAGTTGACCCATGTTGACCCCCGCCTTTCATCCCAGAACTCTGAGGCTCTCAAGCGGAGGCCCAGTTTTGACTCAGTTTGGCCTTGTTGACACTTTCTTTTACTTCAAAGGCCGCTTTTCGGGCAACGCAACCGGATGCCCTCCTGGTGGACAATAAGACTTGTCTCTCCTGCCAGTCTCTTCTCTCCTCTTGTTCTCGGGCGTGTTCTCTCGTCCATTCCATTTGCCTGACTCTAAGCCCCCGTGCCCAGCGGAAGACGGTGAGCCGAGCAGAGGCGATGAGCAGCTCGGTCCGCTCCGACACGTCCTCCGCCCCCTGGAAAAGGGTAAACAAAAGAAGGTGGGAAAAAAACAACAGCACTTCCTCAAGAGAAGAGCTCATGTAAATGGCTCTCCCTGTCCCTGTCCCTCTCCCTCTCCCTGAAAGTTCCTGCTGGAAAGGCAAAGGAGGCTGTCTAGCCCTGCTTGTCTAGATGTGTTGAACATGATGCATCCTCATTTGACTCATTTCTCAGCTTCCCGTTCCCGGGTTGTGTTAATTCGGGAAGGTTAGCAGCATCAACAAAGTCCAATTGAAACTCAAAAGGAAAAAGAAGTGGGCAGTAACTCGAGAGTCTGTCGGAACAAAACCACAGGCGTGATTCACACATGCTGAGCTGAAGTCAAAGGCTGTCCATTTCTAGGAAGGCCGTTTCTAGAGCGGTTGAGTTACAGCTACGTTGGTAGTGTGTCTGTTCAACGGTTTAATGTGTGGGAGGGTGTATGGACTCGCCTCAGAGGCGCAACAGTGGACAGCGACCTACCGCGACTCTTCAACAAAGGCGAAGCCGGTTCATTCGGAGATGTCTTGAATGAGACTCAATGCTATTTGAGGTGTAGATCAGCTGTGGTTTGGCCCCCATTCTTGCAAAGCTTCGATAGTCGTTCGCTGTGTACATTGGGTTTGGCCATGGAAGTCATGGACAAAGTGCCTCGTTTCTTCTTCTCGTTCCTTCTCATTCAAGCTACGCTGGCATCTCTCCCTCGCTCTGACTCTGACTCTCCCTCGGTCTCTCCCTCTGTCTCTGTTGTTCCCTTCTCTGCCTGAGTGCGGTCGATGGCCTTCTGCAGGAAGGTGTTGAAGGCATCCAGAGAGTACTGGTACATGTGCTGTACCTCTCTCTGCTCGAGCAGGACGCGATGCAGATTTAAGGCCACGGCACGGGAGGGTCCACCCCGAGGCTCTTGACCAAGACATTTGAGACCTGGGACCTGGCTCCGACCTGTCTCCGCCCCGAGAGGCGCAATACAGAGTTGGTTGATCAAGAAGAAGAGCATCGAACCTGAGCCGATTGTAAAAATTTGCGACCTGAAAAGCTCTAGCCCCCTTACTACCAATTCATGCCCCGTTCCAGCGAACGTCCGAATCTTTTCATGCGAGTTCAAGTCTGGCCGCTTGCTCTATGGAGAAGTGTCGTTCGTGTAGGGGGCGATGCGTGTACACCGGCGACGACAGTCTCTACTCCCGCTGGTGGCGTGCGTATCACGCACCGAATGCCAGACTCCCAAACACTTTAAACATTCTTTGCTGCATTTCAATTGCTACAATACCATGCTGACTCGTTCTGAAACTCTTTCGCTCTCTTTCTGCGCCCGTAGGCGTGCTCCGTCTCGTCCTTCCTTCCACAGGCGAAGGGGGCCACCCCATGGCGAGCGGTAACCGAGTCATGCGGTGAAACACTTCCCCGATGCTGGTGAGTTTCCTGGGAGCACGACTTTCACGTCTCTGAATTCCTCTTGCTTTCACGGGGCCTAGGGGGCAACCCCCTGAGCAGTGCGCTCTCTTTCTTTCATTCTTTCTTTGTTTCTTCTTGAAGCTATGGGGCCCGCTCTCGGCACCCTGTGCCGAGCTGAAAAAACTCGAAGTTGAGTTTGGGATGTTCTTGGGATTTCCCTGGCCTTCTGCGGCCACAGGTCGGTAGAGCTCCCGCGAGTGGTTGATCTCGACCTGGCGTGAAGAAAACATCGCACACCAACAACATTTCCAAGGGGCGTCTAAGCCGCCTGGAACTGAACAACACCTCCTCGCCCAACATGCGTGCAGCAACACATAGAACACACAGAAGAAACGAACAACAACAACAACAACAACAACAACAACAACAACAACAACAACAACAACAACAACAACAACAACAACAACAACAACAACAACAACAACAACAACAACAACAACAACAACAACAACAACAACAACAACAACAACAACAACAACAACAACAACAACAACAACAACAACAACAACAACAACAACAACAACAACAACAACAACAACAACAACAACAACAACAACAACAACAACAACAACAACAACAACAACAACAACAACAACAACAACAACAACAACAACAACAACAACAACAACAACAACAACAACAACAACAACAACAACAACAACAACAACAACAACAACCACAACAACAACAACAACGACAACAACGACAACAACGACAACAACGACAACAACGACAACACCGACAACAACGACAACACCAACAACGACAACAACAACAACAACAACAACAACAACAACAACAACAACAACAACAACAACAACAACAACAACAACAAAACAACAACAACAACAACAACAACAACAACAACAACAACAACAACAACAACAACAACAACAACAACAACAACAACAACAACCACAACCACAACCACAACCACAACCACAACCACAACAACAACAACAACAACAACAACAACAACAACAACAACAACAACAACAACAGCAGCAGCAGCAGCAGCAGCGGCAGCAGCAGCAGCAACAACAACAACAACAACAACAACAACAACAACAACAACAACAACAACAACAACAACAACAACAACAACAACAACAACAACAACAACAACAACAACAACGTGGTGTCCAGCAGAGCGCCGTTCCTCGAGCCTTGCGGAAGGGAACCGAGCTGCTGGCCTCTGTCTTCTGTGCTTCCACCACTTGCACGCTGATCTCGCGGCTGGTCTGCTTGGTCTTCTCAAGGCCCTGTTGGACGAACAACAACATGATCCAAGATGATCCAAGATGATCCAAGTGCGCCTTAAGTGTGGTGCAGGCCTCGATGAGAGGAAGGTTGTCCAAAATGGTTGCGGGATCTGCCGCAGACAGCTGGGAGAGCAGTTCGTCCTGGTGCGTGCAGGCACTCGTTCACTTAGAGTCAGAACAACATCTTGCACAGTGGAGCAGGGTCATCTTGCAGTTGGATATCAACGATCTGTCGCCCCCGTTGTTCTCAAAGATACTCTAAGAATGATATTTGCTAGTACAAGCCATGGCGATGAGGGCTCGAGAAACTCGATGGGTATTGAAAGGGCTCTCCGATACGATCAGTCTCCGCTTGGATTCATGTGCCCCTGGTTCACAGGTTCGCGTTCACACGGCTTGCCAAAATAGAGGCGGGGCCTCCAGCCGACTCAGCACCACCTCGACACTGCCAAGCAAATTGGCGCGCGAGACAATCGTTCTGCATGGCAACTCTGCAGCTGCTCCCTTTGCAGCTCCCTTTCCTGCTCCCTTTGCTGCCTTGTACTCGTTCTGCCGTCGAACCAGTGTCTGGCATTGCAGGCTATGGCGGGGGATGTATGCAACGTTTATGGTGGCGCCACCTTGCAACTCCCTCTTGGCTCCATCTCAAAAGCCCTGCGTGCCTGCTTCTCTTCTTCCAGCTGAGGCTTCTCGCAATTCACCACCATGGCCAAGACTTGCTCCTACACAGTCAATTTATTCGGAGTACAGTTGATACACCGTTCAGGGCTTCAGGGGATCCAAGGGAGAATCCCAAAGGACGATCCAAAGGACAATCCAGAGGATAATCCAAAGGACGATCCAAACGACAATACACCGGACAGCGCCAGAACATCTGCACCTCCAGGCCCTCAGGCGTGACAATGAAGTTCACCACGGTGCATTGTGCCGAAACCTCTCTAAAGCGTCACAAGAGGGCCACAAAAACTTGAGGGGGGGAAGGGGGGGGAGGGGAGGAGGGGCACTCAAAAGCAACTCTCGCACAGACTCTCGCACAGCTCCAGTGCGAGCCTCAGGGCGGAAGTGGGGGTTCGGCAGCTTGGACTGGAGGTACAGCTGAAACCTGCTGTGTATGAAGCTCAACCACTCTTTCCCCTTTCTTGCTCTTGTCAATTTTCCTAGATCTAAATTCTTCAAGCTTCAACATTCTTCTCCGGGCCGGGGCGCTTCGGGTCGTACTCGATCTCGTCGGGCCCGAGCTTGAGGAACATCGGACCCTGGCCTCGTCCTCGCTGGATCACCTCAACATTGGGAGATAAACAGATCTAAAAAGATAGACTGACATTGACAGAGAGGAGTCAGTGAGGAGTCGCTGAGAAGTCACGGGGCGCGCTGAACACGCAACTAGAGAACGGCTGTGCCAAAAGCATTCTCAAGCCAGGATTAAGACCTCGCATAACGCCATGTTCGCGGACACAAGTGCGAACGCCTCCCACGCGCCGCGCAACGACCCGCCGCGGATAGCGAGAGGGTTGTCTTTCGCGGACGTAAACGCGAACGCCTCCCACGGCATCAAAGCATTTCCCGGGAACACGGAGAGGGTTGTCGTTCGCGGACGCTAATGCGCGATTTTGTGCAGGTGCGCCAACCCTACTCCGCGCTTTCAAGCATATGCAAATAATTTAGAGGAAATCCAAGAAATCATTACTGTACACTTACTTTAACTCAAAAATTGTTTGAACGTGTGAAGATTGGTAAACTGTAAGAACGTAGTGTACTTAGATGTATTTTGTCAAATCTGACGCTAATGTTCCATTGAACAAGATCATACAGCTACCCCAGGAGCATTGTCATACAGTCAAAGCAATGAACAAGTCTCCGGGAGAGCGCAAAGACGTCAGTGACGCTGCTAGCAGGGTGTAACAGCGATGAATAAGAAGGGTTCAAGCATGAAGCGCATACTTGGGAAATGAAAAAAATAAAACGTACAAACATGAAACTGGAATGCAATGCAGTTCATGACATATGTAGCTGAAAAGCCCTCACCAGGCTTTCGGGAAAACCAATTGAGAAGGGAGGGAGGGAAAGAGAGAGAGAGAGAGATTCGGGCAAACTGAGCAATCGGAGTGAATGAGAGAGAGAAAGGAAAAAACCACAAAAGAAACCTCTTTTCTGCGAGGGTCGTGTCTGTTCAATTCTTATGTGCAGAAGAAAGCAGAAAGCGAAATGCGGCGAAGGTCCGGGAAGGGGCAACGGAGGGGGGGGGGGAAGGGGAGGAAGTGTGCGGATCTCGTGCGGCTCCTCTGTAGTTGGAGAGCTCTCTGGGCCGACGGCGGCTCTGGAAAGCAGCGGCTCCAAGACCTGCGTAGCGCTCGGGGCGGCGCGCCCGAGGCCCCTTCAAATTCAGAGACTGCTCATGGAACTTCCAATCTTGCAGCTATGCCATTCTCGTTAGAATGCACAAGCTTTTGAGTCGCTTATAACTCATGCTCCTGTATAGAGACAATCTCAGACCGCGCCCTCCTCCCTGCGCACATCTCTGTGCATCTCTCAGTCCAAGGCAGCATCGATTTCATCGGCAAGTGCCTGGGGACAGCGATCAGCACTACGTCACACGTCACTACTTCACTACTTCACTGCGTCACTACGGATTTCCAACAGCGGGTGATGAAGTAGCTACAAAGACTCCACAGAGTGAGCGACTCTCTCAATGGCTCTATGAGTGTACTGACTCTCTGTCAAAAGGGAGCGGGCGCCTCGATGAGGAGCTGGCCCCCGGTCTGAACGCAGCTCACAACCCTCTCCAGCCTTATTCAGACACTGAAACGACCACTTTAGCCATGTCCATCTCCTCTCACGCGATCCCTCCCTCCCTTCCTTCCTTCCCTCTCCCCTCTCTCCCTCTCTCTTCTCTAGGAGAGTGGACCACTTGGGCATGGAGAGTTGGATAACTGCCAATTCCTGCACTGATATCTGGCCACAGATGCAAAAAAAGGAAATGTTGTAAGCGATTTCTCCTCACCCACGCGTTGCTTGATCCAGCGTGCTCCCTGCTGCTGGGGATCCACCAGCCTCAGCGCCATTGTGTACCACTCTGATCCACTCTGTATATGTTGTACCACTCTGTACCACTCTGTACCACTCTGTACCATGTGCCTTCTCCCTGCCCTGCATCACTGAGTTACATGTCGAGAAAAACAAGCCCCTTTTGCCAACTCATTCTCGCTCTGGTTTTGAGCCGCTCGCAGTGGCCAGCGCGAGCAACACGTCACAACCTGGTCAACGACAGAAATGACAAGACTGGACTCAACATGACAAACACAGGAGTCACTGAACAGAGTCTGAGCAGTCCCCACAGAGGCATTCTCAACAGAGACGCGATCCGCAGGCAGCCCCTGGCCACAGAGATGCTCTGGCGAAAAACCCTGCGAGCTCTGCGCGAGCTCTGCGAAGCTCTCGGCTCTTCCCCTCCTCGTTCATCCAACCCGCCACATCGGCATCCGTGGCCAGCACGGCAAGGGGATCGATGTTGTGGGTCATCGGGATGCCACGTTCTGAGACAAGACAAACTGCACAGAGGGCAGAAAGTGCAGAGAGGCCTTCGGGGAGGTTGCTCCGTTTCGGTGCGTTGCGGCTCGTTGAACGGCCCGGCTCCGTCTAGACATGGCTTCTGCAGCAATTGCCGAGCTGCCGACGTTTGAGATCGTGGGTCCAAACCTGCTGCCAAAGGTCCTGCAATTGCATCTGCAACAGCATCACGAAGCGCTTAAGTGTCAAGTATACGCAAATGTACGCAATTGTCTACCCGAGTCAACCCGAGCGCGTCAGCTTAAGCGGCTGCGCTGACCTGCCGCAGCCGCGCTGAGAAGGGAGAGGCGTAGCCGACAAAGGCGCTGGCCAGCATGCAATTGCCTGCAAAACACGAGAGAACATGTGTAAGCACGAAAGAATGCAAACCAAGGCAACAAGCACCAAGCTCACAGCAAGAAAGCTTCAAGCTCACGAACAAAAAAACAAAGCGAATCGCTCTGAAAGCGATTTGACCGATTATTGCTGCTGCCTATGAGACGCAATCCCAGGTCCCGGAGATCCACGACAGTCGTAGCCCAGCCTGTCATGTTGGTCACTGCGGCATTGACAATTCCTAAATGGAGAACAACGATGTGTCAGGTGTCACGACAACTGCTGGTTTTCGTCTGAATTTATCTGGCGACCGGAGGACATCGAAGGACCGAAAAAGCAGCAGAGCGACCGAAAACATGCGCCGAAGGAAGACGGGAAAGACTCGGAAAGACTGCGCTGTGGGCAAAGCTCTTTCGACATGGGCCCGCAAAAGACGCGTCCACTCTTCCACCCCGTTCAACCTATCTACCCACCATGCGTCCAAAGTCTTGTCAATCATCGGCCGGGCAAGATCATGAAAACGTCAATGGTGCAGGCATGCCGATTTTTTGCACGTTTATGCAGGTACCTGGTCCGCTTCATGCCATGCCACTCCCGTGTTGAGTGCTGTAGGATGCCCTAGGATGCCAGTTTCACTCTAAGCAGGGCACTGTAGCATACTGTAGCATACTGTAGCAAGGTCCTAGTTTCCACATCCAAGGCTTTAAACAGGGCACCTGGGGGGACCAGAGGCAACAAAACTGAAAGTGGGCATGGTAACATGCCTTTTTGTACCGATGTTTGCACTAGTTTGCACCATCTCTCTTCTCTCTCTTCGAGTCGTGAAATATCGTGACTGGACTTGAGGACACTGCGTGCATCTAAGTTGAGGCATCTAAGTTGAGGCCCTGGCGCTCGTTCTCGTCGGCCAGGCCCGAGACCAACCGCTCTGCGGTGCTCAGCCGCTGCACACAACTTTCCGCCTCTTCCGCAAAGAGATTCGCACCCACAACGAGAGAGGGCGCGTCAAACAGGCAAACTTATACATCTACCTGGCCTGCCGCTCCATCCTCTCCTTCTCAGTCGTCGCATCACTGAGCTGCTTGTCCAGCTGTGCACAGTTGGCCTTGCCAGGCAAGGGGCCACAAGCTTGGACACGGCTCCCGGCATCCAACCTTGTGCGCGCTGTCGCTGCGCAAAACAGCGCACAGGTATAACAGCTCGTTAGCACATGTGTGTCGAGTTGTAGAATACAAGTCCGGGAAAAGGGGCCTCTGTCCTGCGCTAAGTCTGATCAAGTTGTGCATGAGAATGCCAAGCAGCTAGACTAACTACGCTGTGACACAGCTAAACAAAAGCTTTTGCCGCACCCAGATTAGCCCGCTGAGGTCGCCTTACGGCTGTCTGGTGCTTGGGCAAGTGAGGCAACAGCAGCATTATGACATTGCGCGAAATATAATAAAGAAAAATGTATTGACTATCAGAGAACAACACCAATGAAATACCACAAGCGATGAGACCGTTGGCAGCTTCAACATGGCCATTCACAACGTTTTGCGCACCGCGCCTCAACAGCTTCAACCCGCTTCTCGACCTGCCCATGGAAAGAGAGGCATCTGAAGAGATTGCAGCAAACTGGCAACATCCTGATGTCAGGTCTGTCACACAGCGAAGCTCGATTGCAACAAAGCCGTTCCGACTCAAATGCTTCGCCTCTCGCAGCTGCAGCTTGGCAGCGTCCGTGGTGGCTTGCGCCACCTTCACCTTCTCCATGAGCGGCGCGACCTCACCAGGGCTCCAGTCTTGTGAAACTGTCTTTAATGTGCCTTGCGGCATTCCTCGAACATTTCGGGCTGTTCTGTGGAGCCTTTGTGTAGATCTTGTTGTAGGTCACGATGTTCACCACCTACAGTCGCACCCCCCCCGCACCTGACTGGCTCGAGCTTGCAAAGTTGAGGCACGCACCCAATTGGTGAGGTACGCTGCCTCAGCCGCGAGACACCGAATACGAACCCGCGATTCACCCCGTTCGCCTCCTGCCCCACTTCCTACGCCCTCCTCTTAAGGGGCCTCCAAACACCAAACAGGTCTCCATCAAAGTCTCCAGAACTGTTCAGACACAGACTCCGCAGAAGCGGCAGCCAGGCAAGCTGCTTAGCAAGCTGTGTTGCGCCGTTTCGTTCACTCACTTCTTGCACAAACGCGCACGACATTGATTTTCCTTACAAATACAATTCGTGAGCTCCCTTCAAGCCTTTAGTCATAAGACTGTGTTTCGTTCAACCATTAACTATATTCATGCGCTACATTCATATCCTCATTTAGTTCATTCATTCAATTCACATGTGTTTTCATATTGCGCATCAAAACCGCATGAAATGAAGTACGATCATCCACGATTATACTGGGGGGGCGTGCTGTACGCTCTTTTGCTTCTTGTCTAACCTTCTCTCGCCCGCCAACAACAATAATAATGATGTAATGATATTCATGATGTTTAAAGACCCATCGTTCTCATACGGGCTTTTAATAGCAGTAGTACGGGAGCTTCTTGACCGGACCTGTCATCTACTAGCCTGTGAACCAGACCTCCAAGATAAACCCCATACAAGGCTTTCCATTCTTTCCATCTCCGCTTCTTGGCTGCAGGTCAATGTATAGGTCTCTCTGTCTGCGCCTGGACCCAGCAAAAAAGAAAGTGAGAGTACAACCAATATTGGGTGGGCACCAACTCACCCTACCCTGCCATAACCTGAAAAAAATCTTACTGTGATGTGTCCACTCCGTGTGACTTCAGCGTTGCTTGGTGTTCTCTTGCGAGCGGCTGCCAGAGATTTGCTCTTCATCGATTCGAAGTTGAAGAAGTCTGCCGCAATCAGTGGTTCGGTGTTGGCCAAGACCTGTGGCAGCAACACAGCCCTACGAGAATCTCCTTCAGGCGGCATCATATCAGCCTGTTCCGGGATATTTTCAGCATTGAAGACCTTCACATCGTCGATGAACCTGGGGACTGGGTGTGGTGCGGGTGAGACATGACAAATGCACACACTTAAGAACCGCTGAAGCGCTCTTGTTCCAGGCAGCCCGTGACAAGATTCGAGACGAATCAAAAGAAAACGAGACACAAAGACTGGAAGGCGGTGACCGACTTCGCGATGCATCGCTGGCGCCCCAAATGCAAGCATAACTCGGGATGGCTTCCACAAATCAGCGGCCACCAGATGTGATTCTTTTGCAGGGTGCCCACAATTTGCTTCTCCAAAACCGCCAGTGGAGGCGCGAGGAGGGTAGGGGGGAGGGAGCAGGGAGGGGGGGGGCAGGGAGGGGTGGGCAGTGAGGTCCGGGGGGTGGCAGCCCTGCATCAGAAAGATGGATGCGCCCGGACGTGAGCCGGGGTTTCGGGCTTCCGGCTCAGATTGAGTGAAGTTCTCTGTCTGGCTCTCTCTCTCGCAATGCGCATTCTGCTCAATCTCATCTACTATTTATAGCTTCTGCAAAAACAGGATCACTGCGATTCTACCAAACACGTCCACATCCTGCAACGGGTGGTGGCTCTTGCTTCGCGCAGTTTCGGCCAAGGCTCTGCTGAGGAGATTGCATCATTTTCTGACAGCCTTTCCAGTCCAACTTCCGCTTCTCCTCATAGGTTACTGGCGTTACGACCCCAAAGGGGCAACACAACTCTCGGCACAACGACAGCACAATCTTGCACCCAGCCTGCTTCAAGAGAAAGCCACAGGCGGCCACCACATCGATGCACTCTCGCGGCGGCTTCCCCAAAGCTTTCAGCTCGGTGATCGACGTCTGCACACCACGCAATTCGCAAGGACTTTTCACTGACGGAGAAAGCGTCTGGAAAAGGCAGACCACGCCCCGGACCCCTCCCTGATGCCCCTGACACCACCGGCGCCCCTAGGAGGAACTTTTTTCTGGAAACACCAAGCGACATATGGTGCAGACGCCTTCATGTACGCCGCGCACGTGACCCCACATTGGGCCAGCTGGAATCCAATGTAAGGACCCATTTCAAGAAAATCTGCGAGCACAATCGAGCGACGAAAAACACAACACACTACCTGAAAAAGAAAGCCTACACAAGGGAAACAAGACTGCAACATCTGACTGCAACTGCCTACATACCGGGATGGTTTAACATATAATTCGCCTCGGCTTCCTGCCGAGAAGCGTCTGGAACAAGCAGACCCGGATCGGGCCTCCTTCCCCCTAACCCAACCCTTCCCCCCGTGCCAAATTTTCTGACGCAACCCCCCCCCCCGCCCTGTGGGACCCCCCCCAATCCCTTGGAGGAGCTGCAAACCGATGCCGTGGAGGGTCCCGCTTGTCGGTGGCTCCTACAGGGGGAGTGCCTCAAAAACCCCCCCCCCCCCCCCCCCCCCCCCCCCCCCCCCCCCCCCCCCCCCCCCCCCCCCCCCCCCCCCCCCCCCCCCCCCCCCACCCCCCCCCCCCCCCCCCCCCCCCCCCCCCCCCCCCCCACCCTCTCTGCCCCTCCCTTTTTTGCGAAACCCTCTTTCCTCCTTTCCTGTCCTGGGGCCGGCCCGGCTGCCGAGGCGGCGCGCGCAAGCGTTTCCAATTATAGGCTCTATGACGCTGTGCGCCACATCCTGTCTGCAAAGGGTGCCTGAAGAGGTGCAAAGCCACGGCGCAGTCAAATGCCCTCATCGCGCCTTGTCGAGGCAGTCCACCGCAGCTTTGGCCTGTCGTTGGGCTCATGGGGAGATCAGATGGCAGAGTCGCAGAGAAGCCCACTTTCTTCGATTTGCCTTCTCCATGGCCGGCAACGCCTCCACGAGCTCCTGGTCCGCCTTCCAAGCAGGCTGAGAGCAGTCGCAGAGCCAAGCAGGGTGTGCTTGTTTGATGTGTGCTTGATTTCGGCACACGAACTCTCCGCGAACTTCTCCTAACTCCGTACCTTTGTCCCTGCAAGAACCGGAGGAAATTGAACCCAAACTGAACCCGCACCCTGACCCTATAGTACTCTCCCCATATACTACTCTCTGCTCTCTGCGCACACGCACGCACACCCACGCACGCACTCTCTCACACTTACACGCACACAAACCCACACGCTTTTGTTTCCGGCCCTTCTCCGCGCCTGGTCCTTCATGCGCTGTGCCTCCGCAGCCAGGGCCTCGCACTTGCCGTGCTCCTGGCCTCGGCCCGTGATTTTTATTAGGTCTCTTTTGCAGAAAGAAGGGAGAAGCATGGAGAAGCAATATTTGGGTAAAACTCATCGGAGAGACGAGAGAAGAGATGAGAGAAGAGATGAGAGGCGTTTTGTTCATCCTCGCAGGAGTCGAGGCCTTAACGAGGGTTCTGCGTGGTTCTTCTGCGGGGCCCGCGCGCGCGGCCTCCTTCTCCACGGTGGCCACCTGCTGGGCCGCTGTCACCTCAGGAGAGCTCCATGCGCTCGCGCCTATCTTGGCGATGAAATGCCATGAAAGCTATGGTGGTAAAATCTCCGGACCTGTTTGATCAGCTCTTCCGTGGCCACTTTCTTCTCGTCCACCTCTCACGACTCTAGCACTCTAGCTGGTTCAGAACGCGCTCGTGCTCGTGTTCCGGCGCCGTCCACCCCCGCCCTCCCGGCCTGCCGGAGGGTCACCTCCAAATCTTGCTTTAGGTCTGCCACGCCTTCCTGGACCTTAGGGGAGCATTGGCATGACTGCAATTCGAATGTTTTTGAGAAGGAGCGCTTTTTTGCACGGAGCGGAACAGAGGAGGGGAGCTCTTGAAACACAGCTTCCCAGCAGAGCTTGATCAACGACTTCAGCATTCTATCGTCCAAGGCACGTTGCGCATGATGGCGAGGCCCCGCTCGAGCCTCGAAACGTTGAGTTCCACACTGGCCTGCTTTGACGTCAGCATGCGAACCTCGCCCAGGGGAACACGGGGGAAATTGTGGGAACATGAAGCGCCGAGAATCAACCAACCACCTAGAGACTCGGCTTTTGCTGGCGAGGCACGTAGAAGCCGATCAGCTCCAAGAAGGCTTTCGGCGTGGTGGAATTGAAGCGGCGTTCTTCCTCAAGGTAGCGTCGGTTGGCCTGAACGCTGTCACGCATTGCAGTTGATGCGAACATTGCCTCTCTCTTATTGTATCTTGAGCACCTGTTGTCTAGCCTGTCGTTGATGTACTGCGTCCGACTTGTGCTTGGCCCTGGCTAAACTGCCGTTTCTTCTCGGGCAGTTTGAGCTCGACATCTAATATCCTAAGGGCCTTGGCAAGTTAGGCTTCCTGCGTCTCCATGCACAGTGCAGGGCTGCACGCCCAATATCTTTAGGTCACCGCTATATGACTATATGATTCCCACCCTTCAATAAATCTTCTCTTGGGGCTTATCGTTGAGCAGGAGTTGCCCAAGGAATGCCTTCTGTCCATCCAACCTCCTTTCAGGGCTTAGTCTATCAGAGACGGGTGCACCCTCGGTAAGAATCGTGGGACACGATTCAGGGTCAAAGGCGGCGGTCCGTCCGGGTGCACAATTCGCTTGACGCCTGAAGACAAGTTTTGACGACATGTGCTTAGGAGCACAGGCCCGCTCCACGTAAGCTTTTTGATGCCGCGTAGTGACGCCACGTCCTGTGAGGACAGGTGTCCTCTGGCATGCGGCCAGCGCACCTTTTCGCACGATTTCTCGTTTAGATCTGCCGGGCCTGTGAGTGACGCCTACTTTTCACACGCCAGGTTGGGCGACGGGTGACTCTGTGACGCGAGGTGAGCTAGCGGCGCCAAGTTTTGGACGCCATGTTCGATGACGCCACGTGTCTTCGCGCCCCACGTGAGCTAGTGACGCCACGTGAAAGCTAGTGACACCACCTTTTGATGCCTTGTCCGGCGACGCCACGCGGCTAATGGACGCCACTTGAGCTAGTTCTGCCACGTTTTGACGCCACGTCTGGCGACGCCACGTGCCTTCGCGTGACGCCACGTGGCCTCTTGATGCCACGTTGTGACACCAGATCAGCTTTGGACTTCAGGATTCAAGGGCGTTTGCCTCGTGTGGTCCGTTGACGCCACGTTTTGACTGGAACTGATGCCTCGTAGATGGAGACGTGGACCTCGGCAGCATGGTGAGAGATGGCGGCCAATGTCTCCTGAAAGGTGCAGGCACGCTCAAGATGCCTCAGCATGGCGCAGCATGGCTCAGCATGGCTCAGCCATAACAGAACCCGACTTAATCCTCCCGCAGTGAAAGCCCCCGGCCAGACTTGCACCGCACTTGACCCCTCCCCCGAACTCTATCCCGGGTCATTATGTCATTTGCTGCGTGAGACCTTCAGAGTCCTCTCCTCGTTGGGGATGTTCCGTTCCCCCAGCTGCACGAGGAACCGATCTGCCACGCCCACCAGGGCATCGCGGGGCCAAGCGTGAAAGACGTCCAGCACCATGCAGCTGATCAGCGCCTCAAAAACACAGAGAGAGAGAGAGAATCAGTCTATACTTTTTCCCCTCCAAATCAGGGAGAGGTGCGAGAGGTGCGAGAGGTGCGAGAGGTGCGAGAGGTGCGAGTGTGTGAGAATATGGTGTCAGGCAGCATAAGAAGTCACCGTCCAAACCGCACAACATTGTTGATACAGGAATCTTCTAGTACTGAATCCTAGAGGGCTCTCGCGAAGACTCTTTCGGTCTCTGCTTTTTGTCACACAAGCTTTCTCTGAGGCCGGGACAGGAAACTTTCGGCCCCTGATGCGGAAGGTGGAGCCAACCGGTGAGTGACAAAGAACCAGATGCAGGTTCGAACCTGCGAAGAGTCGAGCTTCTTACAAAAGAAAACGCAAGAAAAAAGCTAAAGGAGCAAGGACTCACCCCCCTCTCGGAGGCGGACGGACTTTATCCAGGAAGAACTGAAATAGCGACCTGTGGTAGGAAGAGCATCTAATCAGATGCACGTTCTCAAGACATATGGGCTTTCAGGGCACTCCCGGTCATCGGCGTATCCTGCAAACTTTGCAGCATTCCGAATGGCTGAGAAGATGTTGTCGTATTCCTGCCGTTCAGGGATTCTGGTCATAGGATTTTCTCTCAGTTTTCTCACGCGTACGGCGACCTCGCGGGCAAAGAGGTCGGGGATGTTGGCGCTCGACAGCATGTCCTGAAGGCCGGAGAAAATTGCAAGCGGTCCTGTCGCACAACCAACCAGCCGAGCTGTGAGGAGAGGGCGTTGATGAAGACCAGGAATCGCTCGTCGGTGATCTGGCTGTCTGTAAGCAAGAAGGCCTCTGCACTGCTCGGCACTGCTCGGCATTGCTCGTTACCCGGCTGGCACTTTGTTCACAGGATGGGTCGGACACCTGAGGCGTCGCCGGCTTCACGGCGGCCTTCTTGTAGAAGGTCTGGGCAGAAGAGACATGTGACATGCGAGAAGATGTCACACACGCAATGAATAGAGGAGGAATCGCAACGATTCGCAACAACACGGAATGAAAGCGGGAGCAAAAGGCAACGATGGGCACTGCCACGCTGCCACGCTACCTGGAGGTCCAGCTTCAGCTCGGCCAGGCCGTACTGCTGATTCACGAGGATGGTCAACACCTCCTGAAGCGGCAAATATTGGCGCAAGCTCCAAGTTGTCACATGTTGCCCACATGGCGCCCAACCTGCCTGACCATTGATGAAGCTGGCCAGACGTGCAAGGGATTGTTTGCCAGAGCCACCCACACCCACCAGAAGCGCGCTGCCGCAGGGATTTTGCGTGATGCGGCAAATACCTTGGCAGTGGCTAGTCTGACTCAAGCTCCCGCCTTCCATACCTCGCGTGAAATACGCCAGTGCTTTTGGCAAGGTCTCACGTTGCGATGCACCATCCAGCAATTCTGTCAGGGCCATGCAAACATGCATTGCAATGGCAAAATATAACCGAAGTCAGAGCAAAGCTGCGGCAAACGTGGTGCACTGCGTCGTCGAAAAGCACCAAGTTCATAGTCGCGTGCTCTGTGTTGTAGGCCACCAGCTTGGCCTGCGCAGACTTCTGCAGGCTTCTTATACAACGGCTCCACCAACTCCACTCTAAGATGCACTGCAGGACGAAGCTCGAATTTGGCTCGATCTGCCTTACGAGACTCAGCCGCCTATAGCTCACCAATTGACCCCGCAAGTCTGAAGGAAGAAGTGGCAATGGTGGCTCAACGGCAGCGGCTCCTCCACAGCTGCCCGTATCTGGGGTAGGTCACGTGCCGGGAGGTACTGGCGCTCCCCTGAGGCCTGCAGAACGCTGCACATGTTGCCCCCACATCGCCCCCCTTTTCCCCGAACTGCCCGAACTGTGCCCAGTGAGAATTGGAATCGAACTCTCGCACTCTCTGCTTTAACTCGCACATTTGCATATGCAAATGTCGAATCAACGAATGCATAATGCATGTAGTCGTTGGGGCCGCCTCGGAGACGAAGGTGGTGCAGCACAGCGGCTGCGCAAAGAGCTCCTCGCGGTTCGAAGCCGCACCGACGCCCACGAAGCACTTGGCGACTGCCTCCACTCGGACCAAAAAAAGATGGAACACAACAACGTACTTTACTCTTTCATTCATTGTTTGGTGTTCTCTTAGCTTGTGCCTGCTTTTTGCTGTTGCTTTGCCGCTCGTTCTCGTTTTTATTGGGGGGGACCTCTTACTCCGTCTCGCGCTCTCGCTCTCGCTCTCACTTTCCTTCTTTCTTGGGGGCTTGAGGGCACAGGGCCCTCGCGCGATGCGAGCGCCCCAGCATTGCGGAGCGACTTTCACAGCATGTCGTGTGGACATACGCCTGTTTATTGGTATGTTAAAGCCAAGATACTTACCCCCCGTTCGAGTTCCCAAAACTTCAGAATTCTGGCATGCGACCACGTGAAACTGAGGCGCCGGCATTTCCGAGATCTCCCCCTAAAACATCAAGTATCGGTAAAGCCCCCCACCACATCCTTTTGCCGTGCCCCCGAATGGATTGCTGCCCCTCTACCTACTCAACACCACCCCTAGACCCTGCCTCGCTCCCAACGAAACCCTACCTATGCACGCACTGCCTTGACCTTCCGCTCAACCCTGAATCCTGGGGCAGCGTCCCATAGAGACACGTTCTGCTGGATCAGTGCTCCTTCTTGGTGCGCCCCCCAGGCATAGGGGGGTCCTCCGGCCGCCCTGCGTCCTTTTCAGAGCGCCCCCCTGGGGCTGTCTCGGTGGCGTGCTCTAATTTCCCCCGTTTTGGCTCGCGCGCAGCATGTTCTTGCGGCGGATCACCGCCCCCGAATCCCGCCGAGTGCCTTTCATCACGAGGTGGCGCTTCAACGTGCGCCGCTGGGTGACGCTGTAGCCTTCCCCCCGCCGAGGTGGCGTGTGTTTCCCGCTGAGTGTCCTCCCAGGACGGCGATGTAGTCCCTCCAGCCCGCCTGGTTGGTTACGTGAGCTAGCTTCTTTTTCTCCCACTGCTCCCGCTGAGTGTCCTTCTCGCTGTAGGTCCTCCCCCTGCCTTTTTCCCGCTCTGGTTCTCTCGTCCCCCTGTACCGACCGTCGCGAGGTGCATGTGCAGGTTGTAACATTGTAGTGGCCCAGCCGCGCTCGGAGCCCCTCTTCCACGTCCACCAGTCGCCTCATATTTCTCTGGACCATCTCTGGAGTGGGACGAGGGCCTGTAGGAGCTGTCTGGCGCGTAGCCCGTGCCGGTATGGTGGCACCCTGTCCTGACTTCTGGGACGTTCAAGGTCCCCTCTTGCGAGCGCCAGTACGTCTGCTTAGTGTGCCCCCCCTCCTCCACACGACCGCCTGGGATTCTGCATCTCGATGATGTTGTCGAATGACAGCGTCCAGTACGGCTGCGAGTGCTTTTTTGACCTCAACCCCCTCTGCGGCTTCGAAATGGTCTCCCCAGTTGACCGCATCTAGCAGCTGCCCTCCTACGACCACGGCGTACTCGGCCTCGCCATGCGACTGCCATTTGTACGCCTCGTCAACTCCACTGGCCAGCCATTGTTGTTAGACTTCTCAGCACCGAGATGTCCTGTCTTCGCTCCTCCGCCGTGAGGTCGCTCCATTCGATGAGACCCCGGAATTTTGCAGCTCTCGAATTGGGCTGCGCGAGGGCTTTGTGGGCCCGTGCTCGACCCGGCGGTCCTCCCGCGGCTGTTGGGCAGTGCTGCCGGTGGCTGTGGTGGCTTGTGCTCTGCTTGTTCACCCCGGCGCTGTCATGCTTCCGAGCTGTTCTCGGAATCTGCACAGCTCGCCCATTGCGCGGTAGCGGGTCCCCCTGGAAAGGGAATCCACCTCTCTCTCTCTCTCTCCCTCCCTCCCTCTCTCTCTTCTACTGGTACTCAATTCACCTTGAACTGCTTAATTAACCACAACTTTATCGACTCAATTTCAAGTTCATGGACATCTTCTCTTAGTCTCTTCTTTCTCATCATTCTTGCTTGTTATTTTCCTCATCACTCCGTTCCTTCGCTGCCTTCATGTTTCCTTCCCTGCTCCCTCCCTCCCTGCCTCCCTTCCTTGCTGCCTTCTTTCCTGCCTTGCTTCTTTCCCTCCCTCCTTTCTTCCTTCCCTCCCTCCTTCCGTCGGGGGGGCGGGGGGGGGGGGGGGGGGGGAAAGAGGGCATACGAGACAGTGCGCTGGGTAAGGATGGTCGACGCCCTGTACTAGGCAAGGGATGCCAAACCCGAGATACACTCCCATACACTCAGATACACTCGACTCCCAACGGGATCAGCTGTGCTGGGCTCCTCGTTAGCACTTCTCGACTTGTGCGCGTCATTGTGCAGGGCCCATGTTAATATTCTCTGCATCGTTCCTTCCTTTCTTTCGTCATGGGGCATGCACGTTCCGGGGTCACTGGGAGATGCGTTTTGAGACTTATTTATGTCCACTGTCTTTCTCTTTCTCGTTCTCAATCTCAATCTCTTTCTCTTTCTCAATCTCTTTCTCTTTCTCTTTCTCTTTCTCAATCTCAATCTCAATCTCTTTTTCTCTTTCTCTTTCTCTTTCTCTTTCTCTTTCTCTTTCTCTTTCTCTTTCTCTTCTCTTTCTCTTTCTTCTTCTTCTTCTTCTCCTCGCTTCTCTGTCTCTCTCTCTCTCTCTCTCTGTGCTTTTGTTTCTGTCTCCCTCTCTCGCCCGTTCTCTCTCCCCCTCTCTCGCTCACAGAAAGGGGAGACCGATAAGACCGTCTCCCGTCTCCGGTCATCCAGTGCGCCTTCTCGATCATGACCTGCAACTCCTGCACACCAAAAAGGACTTTGAACATTGAACCGTACCAACTCTGGACTTCACAGGGTTCCGCTCCTTTGCATCCGACTCCATGACCAGGCGATCCGAGAAAACACGATAGCACTCGTGCAGCCACACCTCAGCCAAATCAATGGCTGCAACTCACTCTATATTCTACATGTATCTAGTTCATTCCGTGTGTGAACGTGAGTTCACTCCGGGGCACCCTCAGAAAGCGCGTGGGACCAGCCGTGTCACGAAACACGGCGCTGTGAGTGCTCAGCAGACCCTGGAAGATGTTGGAGATGTCCTGCTTTTGGCGCTGCACGGCGTTATAAGGTACTCAAAAGCGTGAGGCTGGCAGAAGGTTCTCCAAGGGCCTTGAGGTTGAATTGGTAGTGGAACTTTTCTGCTGATGGCAAGAAGGAGGCGGAGTTCTGGATGGATGCGAGGACCTGCCAAGATACCATATGCCCTCGGAAAGCAGAGCCCGAACAAGCAGCCTGAGCAGCTGAACAATATTGAGAGATTCCGGGGAGAAAATCCGAAATCCCCCCCGCCTCTGCAGTGGCATTCACAATGGGCTCGGTGCACCGTTGTGTCTGCTGCCCGAACGCCTCAACGTGCCGACCCAGGACCTTCGTATAGATCCCGGAGATGACCTCCGGAACGACTCTGATCCACTGCCATGCTCACATCTTTCTGAGGGCATCCTCTCAATACTGCACTATACTGCACTGACTCAAGGACCATGACCTGGATCCCAGGGGAGTAGGTGGTGGCCACTGTGAAGCGGCGCTGCAGCCGGCCGTTGATCATGAAGCTGCCTGCCTCAATGACTCACAAAGGGGGGAAATGCAGAGAAAAGACTGAAAAGAACTTTCGGAGTCTTCGGAGCTTCGTGGAGTCGTGGCAGGGCCTGCCTTCGGGTTCATGCATGCCGTGAAGAGCAAGTCCACGATGGTTTTCTTCTCGTCCAACCGCTCCCGATCATAAACTTGCCCATAGGACAAGACCTGCCAAAAGGGCCGCCCCTTGTTGCTGCAGCAGTGTCTGCTCTGATGTAGAATGTGTGCTGTGGTCTGATGCCCTAGCACAGGAAGCAGTTGGCGCGCGGCGCGTTGCCTGGGTCAGGAGCATGATGGCGCTCTGCGTGTCGTAGTCGTCCACCTCGAGGGTGCGCAAGCAGCAGAGTGCGACACGAACACCGTTTAAGAATTTAGCACAAGCACGGTCACACAATTTCAATGTCTAATTTTCTCTAAGATAGACTCTGTGCAGGGCACGTAAGGCATGTTCAGATCGTCCACGAAGAGGATGCACCGTCGGTGCCCTGGCGGGCCGAAGGTGTGTCCCGAACGCCTGTCAAGGGGGGCCCACAAGAGGCTGCTAAGGGCCGCAAGACCAAAGAAAGCTCTGAAAAGAACGTCGGCACAGGAAGGATCGAACGAAATCGAGAACGACGCACGATTGAAAATAGCTCTTCTGGTTGGAACTTTATGTAGGTAGTGTGTCACCCTTACCTTTGAGGTAAGATATGGCCATAGGGAAAACTGGCCGTCGCCATGTGTATTTCGCCCCAAGCGGCTTCTCCAAGCAGCCCACGATGATGCCTTGCAGAGCTGCCGAGGTCGTGTAACCTGACACTCGAAAAATATCCCCCTCTCAAAAAAAGGGAGCAGACAATTTTCAATGAAAAAGAACTTACGGAGGGCCAAAGAGAGGAAGTGAGAAGCTGTTAAGTGGTTCTCTCGTGGAAACGGTTGTGACCGAGGAGCTATTCAAGTTGATGGACGCTGAATTCATCTCGCTGTTGACTTTCACCTGAAGCGCGCGACAAAAAAGGCGAGCAACGACAGACATCGCCCGCAGCCTACATAGCCTAGATTGTGAGGCTCACTGACATGGAAGAGATTCAGAAAGGAAGCATGCCTTAACAATCATCATGTTGGGAAAAAAGTTGCGCGGACAGTGTGACAGCCTGTGACAGGATATCCCCGCCAATCCCCGCCTCCGCCAGGTAGTCCTTGACCATGGTCGTCTTCCCAGTTCCTGCGCAACGTGCGCGCGCGTGTGTGTGTGTGTGTGTGTGTCTGTGTGTCTGTGTGTGTCTGTGTGTGTGTGTGTGTGGGTGTGTGTGTGTGTGTGTGTGTGTGTGTGTCTGTGTGTCTGTGTGTCTGTGTGTGTGTGTGTGTGTCTGTGTGTGTGTGTGTGTGTGTGTGTGTCTGTGTGTGTGTGTGTGTCTGTGTGTGTGTGTGTGTGTGTGTGTGTGTGTGTGTGTGTGTGTGTGTGTGTGTGTGTGTGTGTGTGTGTGTGTGTGTGTGTGTGTGTGTGTGTGTGTGTGTGTGTGTGTGTGTGTGTGTGTGTGTGTGTGTGTGTCTGTGTTTGTGTTTGTGTTGGTGTTTGTGTTCGTGTCTGTGTCTGTGTCTGTGTTTGTGTTTGTGTTTCTGTTTGTGTTTGTGTTTGTGTTGGTGTTTGTGTTTGTGTTTGTGTTTGTGTTTGTGTTTGTGTTTGTGTGTGTGTTTCTGTGTGTGTTTGTGTGTGTGTGTGTGCGTGTGTGTGTGTGTGTGTGTGTGTGTGTGTGTGTGTGTGTGTGTGTGTGTGTGTGTGTGTGTGTGTGTGTGTGTGTGTGTGTGTGTGTGTGTGTGTGTGTGTGTGTGTGTGTGTGTGTGTGTGTTTGTGGCTTTCTGCGCGCGCTACAGCCTCGCCTCTGCTTCGGCGTCGGCTTCCGCCACGTCGGCCTGCCCTGCAGTGTCGGCTTCGGCTGCTGCGTCGGCTGCTGCATCGGCTGCTGCTTCGGCTGCTGCTGCGTCGACTTCTGCATCAGATGGGGGTGCCGTAGCCACTGTAGTCACTGTGGCCTCACCAGCCGGCACCTGGTTGGCACCTGGACATGGTCGCGCTGCAGGCTAAAGTGAAAACTAGGTTGCTACCTACTTGAGTTGAATTGCATACGGACGTCCACAAATCTGAACGACCATAATGAAACTTCGAAGCTATCATGCCGATATGCTGCAGGACTCACGCGAACATGCAAAGCTGGCGAGCTCCGCGTTGTGGCGCCGATAGCTTTCGCATAGGGCTTAGCTTCAATTCGACAACCTGACAAGGCATCAAGGGCCTGCAGGGTCCTCAGCTTCTTCCACCAAGTTCTCCTGACCTTCCTGCAAGCCAAGCGAGCTCAATCAACTTAACTACAGCTTTTCAAAGACTTTCGCGATGCACGGTGCCTAGACCATGCACACTCGCTTTCAGGATGCATTGTCATCCTGCACATCCTTCCAAACCTACAATTGCTAAGCAGTTCTGAAACTAGAATGTCGAAACATCTCCGCAAGCACAACTGTAATCCCTATGGCACTATGGCCCCCAGCAGCTCCCAGCAGCTCCCAGCAGCTCCCAGCAGCTCCCAGCAGCTCCCAGTGTCAAGGACAATGCCCCCCTCCCCCCCCCCCCCCCCCCCCAGGTGAGAGTTCATGAGTGAGAGAATTTTCTCTCTTCCCCCCGAAAACTCCCAGGAGTTCAGGGCATGACGGAGAGCCCCTCGCACAGCCTCTTTTGCAAACATAAGAAAAACAACAACGCCGCCCCCAAGAGAGCCCCTTAAAGGATCCTGTCTGCGGCTCCACCAAAAGAAGAAGACCAGGGACACTTGTACTGCACCAGATAGTTCGACCCACAAGTGTCATGAATTTCAGACCCATGCCCCCCCCCACCTCCTTCCCCACAGACGCCTGGCACAACTGAACCTTGTGGCCTCTTCCGGAACGAATAACTACACTTAAAAATCATACTCCACTAGCCGGCGTGGTGAAAACGACACTTTTCGGCACGCACGCTGCTACTCCGCAAGAGTCTTTAGAGGAACAGGCCCCGTAGCTTGAAACTTTCGGCCTGGGATGTAAGTCCTTTGAGTGTGCAGACAGAGATTAAGGAATTGATGGCATGGGTGGGATCACGGGGGCAAATCGCCTAAATTCTTTGGGAAGACCTGCAAGAGTCCCTAAGCGAAGATGGCACTGAAACTTGCGCCTGCTCCCTCTCCTGCTTCTGTAGCCTGGCCCAAGAACTCTTTTGTAGAACCGTTCCAAAGCATCAAGTGTTGCTGATCTACACTCCTCCAACTACCCCTGGCACTCACAGCACAGAAACACTCCGAAGAGAGCATAAAACATCAGAAACTTTAACTAAACATCAGGACGTCATTCAACCCCCCACCACCCAAAGGCCACCTGCGCTCTGCACGCAGTTGCTCGAGCCGAGGCACAAAGCGAGGCCTCGGTATGGGGCTTTGTATGCGGTAATCATATGTATGCACGTAGCCGTAGCATGCACGCTGGGAGTTCCCGATTGTGTGGCTTTGGGGAGAAGACAGGGTTTATTGATTTGGAGGTTCTTCTTGTACGTCAGTATCAGCCCTTCAGAAAATCGCTTGGACCACAGCTTTGCATTCCCCACTTCTTCGCCTGCCACGCTTGTGGGACGGCAAGGTGCTGCAAGGACATGTCGTGCAAAATTTCAAGATCCGTTGCCTTCGACTTCCTTGGACCCTAGTGGGCATGTAAGCTTTATTTAAAGTGCCGAGATAAAGCGTCTCGACCAACTTAGATTTGGCTTGAACCACCAAGCAACCCCAGTCAGCAAGCTTGGAGAACCTCCATAGCCTCCTGCTTCAGTTCAGAGCCCAACTCAAAAACGCCTACGCTCGGGACATTCACCAGTTCTAGATTCACCTCGGCCTTCGGCGACAGGCGTCGGGAACGCGCAACCAGGATATGGCCTCCTTCCTCCAATCCCTGACCCCTCACCCGTGTGGCTTCTTGGCTCCAGCAACACCGCCGCAAGCTTCAACAAGCCGAACACGCTTTAGTCAAGCAGCCCACGAGCACAAACAAACGCACCGTTTGCACAGCCTGACTTTATTAACTGCCAATCATGCTAATCAAGGCTACAATCACTTCAGGGTACAAGCATACTTAAAGCAGGTGCCACATCACAGCACCATGCCGGAGCCCCTGCACCATCAAATGAAGCCCCAAACCAATTCCCAGAGACGCGTGCAGCACGCACTTTTGTACCACACCACTTCAATGCGCAGATTCAAAGGTGACAGACGATTCATGATGTAGGCGTTGCCAGTTCTCCGGCCCGTTTCCTTGTCCAAAGTGCTGATCTGCTTTGATGTGACTTTCATTTGCATGGGGTCCGTTCTGCATCGTGCTGCCATGTGCTGCCCCATGTTTTTCTAACGCGGCAAAGTGCTTGAGGTGCTGCATCGAGGTGTTCCCTCTCCCCAGCACCTGTGTTGCCACGCCGACCGGGACTCGCCGTCTCTGTAGCAAAATGTCGGAATACAGAAGACTCCGGAACCAAAGCCCATGAAAGGCCCAATTGCAAACCAGAGTCAGGCTCATTCCCAAGAAGGGATCTTGCTGAATTGCTACGTCTGAATTGACTACCCCAAACCCCTTTCGGGGCCTTTTGCGGGGCCTTTTGGGGGGCCTTTTGGGGGGCCTTTGGGGGGGCCTTTGGGGACCTTCAGCTTTTGGGGCCCTTTAGAGCTCAAGAGCCCGGGATGGTCCGGGATGGGGTTGCTGAATGTTGCCCTTACAGTAGCGGGAGCTTAGATGTGCAAGCTTTGGCTTTGAGGGCTTCTGACATTCTGGACGGTATCGGATTGCTTCCAGAAGTTACCCTAGCGAATATTTGAAAACTCGAAATTCTGGCTGGGCCTGGAGCAATTGAACCCAACGTGAGACTTGCGCGCACTTTCCTGTTCATGGCCGGTACGCAACACGACACAACACTAAAGTGCCTTTTGTTACGAATGCGCCCCTGGAAACCGGCCAATGATCACACGGAGGTGCCACTGGGCCCTGCAGAACCCTAAACGGGTCCAAGAGATTCTTGACCTGGTGATCATAAGTGAAGCTTTTAGTGAGGCAACTTGGAACTTTAGAGATGAGGATGAGGCAAGTTCTGGCCTTGCTCCTTGCGACCTCTAGATCCCCAAAATCACCAAGTCGAAAGCATTGCAACTCGCGGACCTGAAGACCTGAGATTTGCACCTCAATCTGGACGACATCATCGCTACTCATTGGTGGGGGTCGCTCTGGCAACTCCCTGCCAGTTATTCTGGCATGCCACCAAGCCCTCAACTCAGCGTGGACGGGCCACACGGCAAAATGTCCGGAAGTTGTGCCCAGTCACGGCCATCGGCATCACTTCCAAAGAAGGATACTGAGCTAGGACTTGAAAAGGGGGAGTCGAACTACACCTAATGTTGGGTTTCCATTAGTAATGTGGTTCTCAATAGAGCGAAATGTTGCCCAAACTCAACAATAAGAAGGGGTGCGCAATAGAACGAAACGTTGCCCAAACTCAAAAATAAACGGGTTTCGGAAACAAAAACAACATCTCGGCCCCCCACCCCTAAGACTCAGCTTCAGGAAGTCGCAAGCTAAAACTACGTAAACACTCTACCCTGGAAAAGGAGAAGCAGATTGTGCCCAGACAGAGAGAGAGAGAGAGAACGCCAGCCAGCCAAGCTGAAGGTTTAGGGCTTAATCAGGGACCCTTATCACTTAATTTTAAACCCCACACTCTAAACACTAAGCCCTCATTATCCCTACTCGTATCACTAGTACTGTTAACGGTTACTAGTTTCTACGAGTACCACTTACGACTAGTACTTCTTACTACTTACTACTAGTACTGCTTAGTAGTTGCTGCTAATGCTCCTTACCACTTACTACACTACTTACTAATGTTACGACTTACGATTACTACTGCTTACTACTAGTACTACTTACTACCAGTACTTACTACTTACTTCTAGAAGAGGCCCAGAAGGAGGGGGGAAAAGAGGGGAAGGGGGAAGAGAGGGGGAGTGGGGAAGAGAGGAAAAGAGTGGGGGGGGGAAGGGAGGGTGGGTGGGGGGGGGCGGGGGAGGGGTCCCCCTAAACATCCGTTTTGCCCACACGAAACCCTATACCATAGAGGTCACCTCAGAACGTCCCCCTCCTCAGCACGTAG